GCGCGGAAAGATCCCGCGCGCCCGAGTGCCGAGATGATGCCACCGAGATAGCACACGTGCGTGCACGCGTACGTTATACGCTCCACCGCAACGACCGCGAGAATTATCATCGTGGACGAATTCACCTTCCAAGTGTATACGCGACCCTGATACTCATGCGGATTCCGCCGGCCGAGAGACCAAAGGCCCTGTGTCCGCGATGCTAGAACTTGGTCCAAGTTCTAGTTTCGAGAAATGTGTAGCCACATTGTAAACAAGTCACATGTAAAATTACAATTATTATAGTGGGTAATATTGGGACCATATCTATTAGTATTAAAGGTGTGTATTTACATACGTCAGTAAATTTACACCTCGTAGATAAACTTATTACCTCGTGTAACAAGTAAACTGCTTGCTTTAATTGTGTAAATTTTATAATTTTTTTTGTAATTTTTCATCGCGTATAAACAAGTATTTACACAACAAAGAGTAAAAAAAATTGTTTTGTAAAAGTATATATTATATATTTCCGTTATTAATAGCGTAGTCGCTACACTAATTATGTATGTAATTTCACATACTTTTTTTTACCGTGCGATCAACTTACAGCTATTCCATAAAAGCTGCAAATTGATTGGCCATACATTTCTCGGAACTAGAACTGGGGCCAAGTTCTAACATCGTGGACACAGGCCTTAATCGTGCCTTTCGAGGAATGCTTAAGCATTTTGACACCATTGCGACAGTCGTGTGCAAATTGCACCTGAGCGTCCTCGAAAATTCTCATTCTCAGGGTCGGACATAATTGGAAATCTCTCGCTTGATTCGCTTTAACCGGCTTTACCTATGCGCTAATGTGGTAAAGTAGACGGGGCATCTCGCTCGTAAATTAATAATGTTTCTTAACGAGAAATTTCTCCAATGACGGTCGATGAGAGCGCGGGCATGATTTGACGATACCAAGTAAAGACCGAATCAGACTAGCAATTGTTGAGAGTAAAGCAACCAGCGATTTAATCGGCTCTCATTGGCTAGAGGGCAATCGCCAAACGTCAACAATCCAATCCGAGTCAGCAATTGCTAGTCTGATTCGGTCTTAAGAAAGTATCAAGTCCGCGTAATCACTTTTACTATCGCGCGCGCGTGGAATGTAATCGGAAAATGACCGATTAATTGGTAATCGGGATCGGTAATCTATTCCTCTTTGTATAATCCTTCGACTCTTTTAATCTCCCTTCTCATCCAAGATAAGAATTCTTTCGAGTCATTAGTGAGCCGACGCGGCGAGTCATCCTAACGTGAAATGAGAGAAAAGAAAAAGGAGGTCGGGTACGTGTAATTTTTAATAGATCCGTTTAAACAGGACGGACGCGGGGAACCACGGTTTGAAGTGCGAAACAGTTTTTGATAATTTAACATTTTTCGCGCGAGTCTCCATTCGAGAACTGCTGTTCTTTGAAGAGAACGGTACACACACATATATATACTTTGTAGAAAATTGCTAGACGACGCTTGGCTGGCAAATTCTAATTAAAGAAATTTATTGGGAAAAATATTACCTCAGCCAGGGTTTGAACCTGGACCTCCCTACACTCTAGGCGGGCGTCTCACCATGTACGTACATGCCTCAGTGGTCGAATTGGTGAGACGCCCGCCTAGAGTGGTAGGGAGGTCCAGGTTCAAACCCTGGCTGAGTTAATATATTTTTGCAATAAATTTAAAAGGAGAAATATTTAGACACTAACATCTTGTCACGGTTTTTTAGTCTTTATTCCTTCGAGTTTGTGTTTACCACACGAGAGCCTTATGAATTTTATTAATTACTTAACGGAGTAAGTTCATATCGACAATTCTCATCGGAATTGTCCGAGATCGGGGACGAAACTCTCGGTGAGATGGTTCTATCGAGGCGGCTGGAATTTTGAACGAGAGCAAACGACGACGTTCGTGGTTTCTCGTAGCATTCCCAAGGCGGAGGACGCAAGGCGCTCGCGAGAACGAGGAGCAGGAAGAGAGAAGGAGAGGGAGGAAGAGGGAGAGAGAGAAAGAGTGAAAGAAGGGAGAGGGAGAGAAGGCAGGCCGATGGAATGGAATTCAGCAATCAGTTAGGCATTCGGCTCCTAGGATAGCGAGCTCCAGGCGGTATAAATCGCGGCCGTTTGCGCAGGAATATATCCAAGAGACGCCTTCCGCCTCCTCCTCGTCCTGTCGCGTCCCCTCTCTCCCCTCTGCGGTCCCGACGACGCGCGGCTCGTCTTCCTCCTCGTATGATCCCGCCGTACCTTACGCCCCTCGTATCCTTCGCGATGACCTTTTGTTTTTTGTCATGCTAGGAACGGTATTAGGCGTCTCGCTTGGAATGCGGCTGTCGCTGAAGAGCCCTCGTTCCTTCGAGTCCCTTCGGGCGGGAGATATGTCCTGGACAAGCGATCCCGAGAAACAGGGATGCAAGATCCTGGTACTTGAGCTAGACCTGCAAACAGAATCGATTATGTTGAATCAGGCGTCAAATCTTACATGTGTGTTTCGTGGTTACAACTTGAATATTAATAGCGGAAGACAGTTTACGACATGAAATTTTGAAACTGTAGAGCTACAGAATTACTAGACAAATAACGAAATATGTGCATAATTATTATAATATTGCGTATACAAAATACATGTGTACCTATACATGTATGTTCTTTTACCATGGCGTTTTCGAAAGCTACCCAAGAGAAAGAATAACGTTGAGGATAAAATACAACACGAATATATGTACGGAAGAGGTCGAAATCTTGGGGGAGAGTGACGACTGGAACCGAAGAGCGGGCCGGAGATTTCCTGTCGGAAATCGAAGTCATTTCGCCGTCCCGGGGAAGAGAAGAAGAAAGTTAGTCCATAGAACGAAAAAAGAATGCGCTAGTCGGAGGTCGCCGGGCCGTCGCGGCGGCGGCGGCGGTGGCGGCGATGGAGGAAGAGATGGAGAGGGAGAAGGATGAGGTTGGGGCGGGAGGACAGGCGGGTGGAAAAATAAGGCCCCTTTCCGCGGAGCGGACGAACAGGCCCGTACTTGATACCATCTGTGTGCTCTCTCGATAATAATAGTATGGACCGAGAAATATGTGCGCGAGGCGCCGTGGGTTCTCTCCGACGTTTTGAGGACGAAGAGGAAGAATGGCGTGGAGGGGAGGAAGAGAAAAAGATCGTGATGGTTTCGTGTGGTGAGGATGCGAAAAGGCGGGAAGGGGGAGGGGTAAGGGAGAGGGAGAGGGAGCGGAAAGAACCCGTGTGCTCTCCTCCGGTGCACATACTGGAGCCCCACGGATGAGGCGAGTCCCCGCGATTGGCGGAGAGTGGTGGGGCGGCGCGCAACGAGCGAGGGCCCTGCCGGCTGGGCCCGCTCTTAGATGATCATCCGGAGACACGGCTGATGGGGCCAGTAGGGGCCCCAGAAATTCCAACAAGGACGGGACATAATGCGCGACTCAAGGTCGGTTCTACTACCGACGGCAAGGCCCCGACGGATGCGACCACGTTGAAGCAGGGTCGTACCGTGACCTCGCCGGATCTCCTCCCCGCTCTCCCCTTTTCCCTTCTCTTTCCTTGCCCTTCCATCGCGTCCCTTCTTCATGCCTCGTCCTACCTCTCCTTCATCCATTCGTCCTCATCCTCCGCTGATCCTCGGCAATCCTGGCTACCCTCTCGTCCACCTTCCTCTGCTTGCTCCTGTCCTCATAGCTCGTCCCCACCAATGACAGAATCGTGCGCTGGCCCTCGGGCGCCCTGCGCTTCTGGATTACATTGCGTGCGACGACATTCCGCGGGTCTGAAAAAATAGACGCTCTTGAGGGCCGGAATAATGATGATGATAAACATGGACACTTTGACACTTTGCACACTGTAGAGGAATTTATTTGATTACGCTCCACTCGAGATTTTATCTTGCTCCGATATCAAAAGTATTTGCAAGATTATTTTTTGTTATTATTAATACTTTTTTACTATTTTACTATTTATACACTTTTACATACATGCAATGTGTACGTAAGATGTACAAGTGACATTTTAATATATTTTAGTATAAAAACGTAGGACTGTCTTATTCTTCCTGTCGAGCAACAAAATTTAATATTTCAAGCAAAGTTACATGAACTTATATTTCTTTAAGGGAGAAGCACTTTGAAACCCATTTAAGTAATTGATTATTAAAGTAAATTTAATAGTCTGATTGTCAGTCTCAGGACCCAATTGTAGAGCATGTTAACTGACTTTCTTTCAACGCCGGAGGCAGCGAGGCATTATGTTGTCATTTAAATTTTAAACTAAATCCTTTCTAAACCAGAGCTTAGAGTTTATACCGAGATCCTGATTGCGACAATCCTGTCGAGGCTGCTGAGGCCCGCCTTTTTACGTCGGGTAAGAAAGAGGCGCGCTTGAGGCCGCCGAGAAGTGAGAGAGACGGCATGAAAAATATACGATGGAGGAAGCGTCTGGAATGAGAGAGGAAAAGATGAAGAAGAAGAAGAAGAAGCAGAAGAAGAAGAGAAGGAGGAAGAGGATGAAGAGGGAGTACGTGGAGCCAGTTTGTGCTCCATCCCGTTGAGGAGAGGAAAGAATCTGTGTGCGTGAGGTTGCGGTAGTAGGGGTAAAAGGGGTATTGGGGGAGGGATAGGACGGATACCGTAAAGAGGGGGTAGGCAGGACTGGCCGGACGATGCAAGAAGCGAAGGAAGAGAACGCAAAAAGAGGAAAAAAGGTGGGATCCCTTAAAAATTGAGACCCACGGAGGTGGGGATCGGAATTTCGGGCCCCGTACACCGGCCAGTCTCGAGGAGGCCTTCGCGAAGATGAGACGAGGAGAAAAGAGGAGATAGAAGAGTACACGAGAGCGCAGGAGGGCACGAGACGGGATCGAGAGGAGGAAGCGAAGAAGTGGAGAAACGAAAGGAGGCGGAAAGAGAAAAAGGGAGAGAGAAAGAGAAGTGAAAGAGGAATAGAAAGAAGAGAGGAAGAAGAGGAAAAAGCAGAGGTGGAGGAGGAGGAACAGGAGGAAGAAAGGCATCGCGTAGCCACAGAGAGTGCACGCAGTCCACCGTGTACTCGGCATGGACCGTCAGTACACTCTCTGCATACTCGTACCGGCACATCAGTACCGTAACTACGTGGACAATTACCATCATCATCATCATCACCATCATCATCATCATCATCATCATCATCATCAACAACAACAGCAGCGGCAGCATCTGCAACAGCAGACGCAGGAACAGCAACTCAGAAGTTTGCAACCTCCGACGTATCTTCAGTATCAACAGCAACGCTTAATTCAGCAGCGGCAACAACAGCAGCAGCAAGAGCAGATCTACGAGAACGTCGTGTCTCAATATCGCATGAGGATGTGCTATCACAATGATTACGAGAACGACGAGCAGATACAGAGGTTCTACTGGGAACAGTGTTACCAGCGCAACGATACCGACGATACCACAGCGTATTACTACTGCGAATATGTAAGGGCTCACTTGGGATTACTCGTAAGAAAGTGCTTGAGAGTACTTGTCGATACCGCCAGTTAATATCGCGCATCGTTTCTTCTCTCCGAAGACGGTAATCGAGTGTATTTTAGTGCCTCTGCAACGTAACATCACACATTCTCGTCTTTAAGAAGGTGCTTCGCAAAATTTCATCATCGAGGTTTTAAAGCAGTAAATATTCTTTTACGGCGGAACGTGATTATGTGCCCGCGCGAATGTGGGCCGTCGAAATATTTTTCAACGAGACCGGCGTATCGTGATGCATTCCTTGTATAAGAAACCGTGTGGTTATTCCACATGTTGGGTATACAGTGATTTCGCATATGGGATAACCGTAAAAATGCATAATAAGAATATTTAATTTAACTTTCCATGTGTGAAATGTCCTATCAAGAATCAAGGATTATATTATATGTTGATGCTGACGCGATTAAATCTTTTTCATCCTAATTATCTGGCAAAATGTTATACGGAACGTAGACCTTCGTCAATGATTATTTCGAAGAGCCCTTTTTATTTTTTATTTTAAAGAAAGATTACGCTATTTGTCTCCGTGGATTTCTCTTCTCGATGGACTTCGTTAATCTTCCTGACTTATTATATTTCTTCACGTATAATCTTCTTATGTACAGAGGATACCATCTGACATTCTAGCGCGCGCAATTTGCACGTGATCGCTAAATAAATAATTGAAAACCGTACAGCTCGGCGACGCTACTATTTATGGAAGCGGAATCACCTAAAAACTTAAATAACTACCGTTCAAAAGTTACACAACTACGTCAAGTCCCTTTAGCGTTTGATGTCTAATTAACTTGGCATGTTGCGAGCAACGACATTTTTGTCGATTACAGTGATCGATATGAAAACGAGTGTTACATCATATATGATATTGATACGAGAATCGTCTGGTGACAGTTGTTCTAAAAAGGTTCTATCAATTCTTGTGTTATAGGCGAAGAAGGAGATCTATGACGTAAAACAGCAAAGGCTCTGCCTGGCGCAGGATGAGTACAATCACCTCAATAATGCCTTAACCACCCTTGGCGCATCGCGTACAAGTTGTGAGTGTAATTTGCAAAATGTGGATTTTAATCGGTTTTTGGAATTAATAAGTAACTTGGATAAATTGTGCACTTTATACGCGGCTTACATTTACGAATGCTTTGCCAATCCTATCGCGATCGAAAAAGTGTTCCATCGCTGAAACAAGATTGCGGAACGTCACGATGAATTAAGAAAATTGTTACGCTCGATAGTTTGCGAATTTTGAATTTTATTTACGCGGTTGAACACCGGGCTTTAAATAAATTGTAACGCGAGTAGGCAGAAAAAAGTTCTCACCATCGGAAAGTGTTTGAACGGGCGTTTGTGGCTCGCAGTGTGTTCCAGCTCGAGTTCCTTGAGCACCAAATACGACCCTGACCTGCTTAAATCGGACGTGGCACTCGCGAGGAGCCGAGTTTCTCGACTGAAACGAGAACTCGAGCAGATTCGAGCGGAGATGAATTGCACGCAACGAGGAGTGGATACTCTCGCCAGGTATTACACACGCGAACATTGATCGGCGACGATCAATTTTTCTACTAAACTGTATCTAAGTAATTTCTCGGTCTTGCCGGGGAGATTTAAGATTTAATTTAAGAAGTGCAAAACTCGACGAAAATTATCTATACGCATTTTACTGACAATGAGATCTTATGCAAAATTTAGATTTGAGAAATCGAAGTCTTATCGATGTAGAATTGTACTCTTTCTTTTACAAATGATTATCAAATACATTTTTATTAATGATTATCAAATTACACCGCTTGTAGTATTTATAATTTATAACACTTGAGCGTAGTTATAACTCTCGCGGTCTGTTTCTTTCCACAGTGTGGAACAAAAATTGAGCAGCCATCATGGTGGATGCTACAATATCATGGAGGCGCAGGCGATCATGACGGAGCTCCGCAACATCCAGAAGTCGTTGAGCTCGGGCGAGAAGGAAAAGGCCGAGTTGATGCAATCGCTCGCGCAGTTAAAGGACGAACTGACAAGGTTGCAGCTATGCGAGGGCAGTCCGGAAGCTAGCACGCTCAGCTTGCCACAGGAGAAGCTCAGCACGGCTTCCCAGACCGATCTCTCGGGCGAGCTGGTGCCGATCGGCACTCGGCTGGCCGAGATGGCGCGAATGAGGCTGCAATACGACGAGGCGAGAAAACAGATCCAGCATATACAACAGCAGTTGGCGGATCTCGAAGAGAAGGTGACGCCGGGTCAAACCGAGAGCGACAAGGACAAGCTGCTACTGTTCCAGGAGAAGGAGCAGTTGCTGAGAGAATTGCGTAGTATTACACCGCGTACGAGGACGCAGCAGGACATGAAGAAGATACAGCTGGAGATTCGCAGGCTCGAGCAGGATCTTAATACCGCGTTCGAGCTTTCGAACAAGACCATTACCGATCGCGTGCGACTCCACGAGGAGAAGCAGCTGTTACTGCAGCAACTCAGGAACGCGCTGCGCTCAATGGCGATGTTGGAGGGCCAATTGAAGACTTTGAGCGCCAGCACGTTGTCGGTGAGCAGCAGTTCCAGTCTCGGAAGCCTCAGCACGACGAGCAGCAAGGGTTCCCTAAGTTCCGGACTGAGTTTCACGGACATTTACGGTGGCCCGCAGTGTATGGGATCGGTTAACTTACAGCAGGAGCGACCGGTCGATATGGTTGATCTTCACAGACGTGTCGAGAGACTGTTGCGTGGTTCCGAGCAGAGCAATCTCGTCGGCACACCCTCGCCCGGCAGATCTCAGCCCAGTCTCTCCCCAAGATCGAGCTTGTCCAGCGTCAGCCCGCCGGTGTCGCCGTTGTACGAAAACGCGCCGATGGGCCCGCCGCCAGCTTACGAGCAGGTGGAGCAGCAGAGGAGGCAGTATCAGAGAGCAGCACCTGCGACGGCTACGACAACGACGGCGATTAGCGGCACTGTCGCGTCGCACCTGGACGGGAATCAATTGGAGGACCGTTTGTCAGAATTCAGGCTGAGTCAGCAGCAAGGAGTAGCGCCGCACCAAGAACAGCCCTGCTCCGTCAATTCGCAGGATCGTCTGAAACTCGTGATCGGTCCTCATCCGCCCGTCGAGCTGCAGTCGAGTAACATGTCCCAGGGCAGCGGCCTGGGCAGGCCCGGCGCGAGTGGCGCGCAGCTGCAACTGCAGCAGGCACCGCCGCCGTCCCTGCCGCAGGAGCCACCTCCCTTGTCGCCGATCAGCGAGACGCCACCGCCTACCGGGATCAGGTCTAGGGCCAGCAGTTCCGGCACCAACACCAGATCCGTCTCCGCCGCGGTCTCCGACGAGAGCGTCGCGGGTGATTCGGGTGTCTTCGAGGCGTGCAACCGGAAGAGATTGTCCGGGCCCATTTCCGACGTGGACCCGTTAGCTTCCAGCGAAATGAGCTTGGAGACGGCGCAGGTGCAGATTAAACTGAGGTGCGCTTCGTTCATCTTATTTATAGATTGTGCGTTAAAAATGTCGAACAAGGCAAATTCGCGTACGAGTATTAAATAAACATATTCGTTTTGCCAGAAAATGATCTTTGCTATGCAATTGTTAAGAATTTGTTACGTTGTCAAATTGTAAAGTGACCTTACAAACAATTATTGTTTACAGGAAGATCATTATGGCAAATCCAAATTGTTCTTAAAATATTGTTTAATCTTCGGTGTTACATTAGAATGTTTTTCAAATAACGTATCAACATTGTCATTTACTTTATTACAACAAATTGTTACGCGCAAGTTTACTATTAGTCACGCTTGTATTTTCTTGCGAATTATTCGGATCTTGAAACGAACAACTGATCTAAAGTCTACAATCTTACGATTATCAGGTATTCGGTGAGCGACGGACTGCTCCACGTTGGCATCGAGCGTGCGAGAAATCTGGCCGCGCTTTTCATACCCGATAACGCGCAAGTGTGAGTATCTCTACTTGACTCCTCTGATACACCTCGAAACAATATATTCCAGGCGATATTTCACCAACTGCCCCGGCGCTGCCGACCGTTGCACCGGTTTAGCCACAACTCTCGTTCCTCGCAAGACAAATATTTATATCGGCGATTAGTTAACATCTCGCGAGGCGTACAGTCGCCGCTGATAGCTCGCGCTATTCCGCGCGAACGGTATCTCGTTTTTAAAAATAACTTCGCCGATTAAATAACCCGGTTGCGCAATGTTATATCAACCTGCCGGCGAGTTACGCAAACGCACTCAACTTTTGTCTATTCGCCGTTCGCAATCTTAATGACCCGAGTTGACCGGCCGATCGATCACTCGAGCCCCCCCCCTCCCCCCGCTCCGCCGACGGTAATCTGAAATTGGAATGTAATTATGAAATCCTTGTCGCGCACTTGTGTGTCTGGATCATTGACCAGCCGCGCGTCGCGCTCACCTTCGTTACGTAAGAGCCGGCTATTATCAGCGATACCGCGTCTCGCAATTAGCTTTACAGCCACTCGGGAATTTATTCCCGCGGCCATTGTGCCCGGCCACCGGCCATAAATTCGCGAAACGGCACGACGCTTCGACGGCCGAGGAAGGGAGACAGATTAATGTGTATAGTTACGCGGGAGCGTTTGATTAATGATCCATCTTTCGCAGCGGTGAACTCACGTTTTCCAATCCCGCCGATGAATGGAAGGAGACGGAGAGAGAAGGAGAGCGCGCCTTCTCTCGGATTCTATTTGCTTTCGTCTGAATATCCTTTTAGAGAATAATTGATAGCTCGCGAGCGAATCCGCGGCCTGAAACTGCAGCTACGCGCCGAAACGCCCCTTTGACCCGCGAAACTAACGTTCTTCTCTCGCCTCGCGTTTCAGGTACATCAAAGCCGCCCTGCTGCCGATGCAGCCGCCCGTCAACCACACGTGCTGCACGAAATCCGTCGTCGATCTGCGAAAGCCGACCTTCGGCGAGACGTTCCCGATCGCCGTGCCGCTCAACAAGCTGTACACGAAAACGCTGCAGGTGACACTCTGGTGCACCGAGGCCGAGAAATGTTTGGTACGTATACTTTTCTCAAGCCTATTCTATCCAGTGCGCGATCAAGTTCTCACTTTACTCCGAGATCACTTCAATCGATGACGAATGACACCACGATCGCGAATTCGAGTTGCCCTGGGAAATCGATACTCAACTCATTATTGACCAAAAGTTCACATTACCTGTCGGCAAAATTTTAGCAGATTTATCAGAAACCCACACCAAAACCATAGCCAACTGTGTTCGCATTTGGCTTTTGTTTCGGCAACAGAGTCTGTGAAACATACGCTGTCAACAAATTGTCGGCAGAAACCAGTGAACTCTATACATACTGGAATGAGTGATCTATAGTTCTGGCTGTTGCCGAGAGAGAGGTGCGTTTGGGTGAATCCTTGTCTCCTTCTAGTACTACCTGATTGGATAGTCGCATATAAATGACGAGAAGAAGGGCGTCACTTATATGCGATTATCCAATCAGGTAGTACTAGAAGGAGACAAGGATTCACCCAACGCACCTCTCTCTCGGCAACAGCCAGAACTATAGATCACTCATTCCAGTATGTATAGAGTTCACTAGCAGAAACCGAGCAGGTCCAGTTGTGTGATTTTCATGTATTTCTGCTGACACGCTGGCAATATGTCGAATATATCGAATCAGTTCCCGTGTGCAATCTGCGGTCTTTCTGCCTTCAAAATTTGTTGTGGGCATTTGACGAAATCTGCTCTGACAGAGTCGGCCGTCTGGGATTCTTTTGAACAGCGATTTACATATATATTAAACGAGCGATTGTACGTTGAACAAAGCGAAACAGAGTGTTATCAGCCTTTCTGAACGATCCCCGGACCGATTTGATTGCAGGGTTCTGCGCAAGTCTCGCTGGCAGACTTCAGTCCAGAATCTCCTAGTGTGAAATGGTACAATATACTCTCCTTCCGCTTCATGCAACCGTCCGACAGCTCCGGTACCAGTAGCAACGGCGCCTCGACGAGCGTCAGACTGGCGAAGCACGACAAGCAGGAGTCGGATATTTCGGTGTACAGGAGCGCGCAAAATACAAAGGAGGAGAGCAGCGACGAGAGTACGATAATCAGTTCTCAAACGTCCACCTTGACGAGAAACCAGGGATGCGATGAACTGCAAACAGCCGTGACGCTGAGGCTGGAAGAGCTGAATTGTCTGCACAGCCCGGAGGAGGAGGACGAGGACGATGGTAGCGAAAGCGGAAGCGAGGACAGCGACGAGGAAGGTATCATCGTGGAGTTTACGATGGAGGATAACGTTCTTGAGGATGTTTTGGAGCACGAGGTGAGCAAAGCTACCAAGTAGGCGATTATTTACTTATCGCTTCCGTTCATTCGAATTTGCCGGAAGACCTATCGAAAAATCGGGGCGACTAAAAGCGCAATCGCTGATTTAACAAGGACTTGGTATTTTCCTACCGCCGTTGTTTGATTGGCGTAATTTTCTGTCAAAACTTGAACTTGTGTTGAATTTCAAATTGTTCACCGTCGAGACTGCATAGTTTTCTTTTTTTTATTAAGAAGAAAACTCTGGACTCCAGATTTATAACGATTCTCCATTTGTAACGTAACAGGAAGACGAAGAGTTGAACGAGGAAACGAGGCAAACGCAGGACAAGGAAACAAACACCGAGTGCATATTTATTCCGGAACAGGGTAAGCAAAGGAAGCTCTCCGCGGCTGGTGTCGCACCTGGCGCTATTCACGACGACAAGAACTCTATTGTGATCAAGAGGAGTCAAACGTTCTCGCCTAGCGCGGCCGTCAGCAGAAATCATTATATCTGCCGGGTGAGTTTCGATCAATTTTTTTACTGGTATCTTCGTTTTTCCGTACAGAGTAAGAGAGTTCGTGAAATACAAGGATTTTAACTCTCTCGAGCTTTCGAGATACAAAAATTTTCGACCAAACGTCGCTTAAAGATCGCAGAATTTTCTGTTTTTCGTGAATTTATCCATTATAACTTTTAGATACAAATTTCGACATTTTCAAGATTTCTTTCTTCATTGTTGTTTATTTATTTATTTTTCGTTTCTCGTCTTGTGCAGCTCAATCGCAGCGACAGCGACAGCAGTATGCCACTTTATCGTAGAGGCGGACCTTTCCAACGAAACTCGGTGGAGAGACGTTCCCTGCGATGGCGTCGACCGTCCTCCGCCCTCAGCTACAAAGCCACGAAGAAGTCGTCCCATTTACCGCCGACAGCGAGGACGTCGTTGGATCTCGAATTAGATCTCCAAGCGCAGCATGCTAGACTGAACAACCTCCAAGATGAGCTTAGCAGGTTACGCGAATTGAAGCAACGGCTGGAACAAGCGCGCGAGAAAGGCGACACCGACCTAGCGACATGGCTGCTGGAAGACCAGAAATTCCAAAGTCTCATAGCGCAGGCCGAGAGCGGCAAGAACGGCAAGAGTCCCGAGGATAAAAAGGTGGAGAAGATGCTGAAGAAAACCTCAAAAGAGATCTACAAATTAAGGAAAACGAAGGCCGGGAAGGGGAAACCCGACATAATTTCCTTCAAGTGAGTTTCGCTTTGCGCTGCAAAAGTATTTTCTGTTTCTGCCTTCGGTCAATAGGCCAAAGAGTTTTAATAGAAGATCCAACGAATACTTGGAATTGATACTTTAGTCTCCTTTGAAAGCAATAAAGATGCTTTATCTCAATATCGAATTTCCCATTTCTTTCGGACGTTACTCGATATTTTCTCAGTTTCTTTATTGTCTGGACATAATATCTGATAACATCTGATACTCAAGATACTAAAGTAACCGAGTGTCGGAAAATAATGTTGTTAATCAAATCATGTTAATCAAATGAAATTCGATAAAAAGTTTCCAATCATTTGGAAGATTATATGAGAATTAATAGAAAACAGACATTATCTCTGATAAAGACCATTTGATTAATGAACGTTACCTTTTTCCAGAGAAAAGATGGCCTTCTTTACGCGGATAAATCTGAACGTTCCTGTTCTGCCACCTGAGGAGACCGAGGGCACGTGTTCTGCGGCACCGCACGCGCACAGGAAGTACGCGTCGGAGCCAGCCGTCGTCACCAGCGCTCACGGTTTCGTGAATTCGTTGACGTCACGGCCGAACAACGTCCCCAGCGGAAGTGCATCGCCCGTCACGAAAAGCGGCGGTGTCGCGGATCGAAATGCCGCGAGTGTCGTCGTCACGATTACCAACGAGGATGAGGTCGCGTTGTCCAACGCCGACGGCAAGTCCGTGAATGCTAAAGGTCGACCGGCGGTGGAGACGGACGCGCGAAGTTCGGAGAACGGTGAGAGAGAGGCTCTATCGAAGTCCGCCGAGAAGAATGGCAACGGGGAGCCGAAGAGGTACGAGTATGTCGTCGACCGGGTCCTCGGCGTGGAGGTGTGAAGGTCCGAGGATCGCGCGCATTCCAGGCTGTAGCGCGACGGAGCTGCAGTTCCGCGTTCACAGATCTGTTTCCCCTCGTGTTTAAAATAGCAGCAAGACGAGGGGAGATGCGAGAGAGAAAGAGAGATGCAGGGGTCACGAAGTCGCTGGCCCCCTAACTCTGAATCCCTGGTGCCATGCGCAGATTATAGGACGCGAGCATCAAGGAGCTCGAGGGACGAGATGCGCCAAGGATGGATTGTTGTCGACAAACTGCGCGCTGCGAAGCTGTAGTCGATGTGACCAGTGATCACGGTGCATGTGCCAATGCCGGGTGTCAGAAGCAACCTCTTCGACGGACGCAGCGGCGAGAATTACGCGCGTACGCGAGCGCGATTGTGTACATATACAGAAACGTAAATTATTTAAACGATACTCTCTACGATAGGCTATTTAATTGTTTAACCCGACTCGCCCGAGTCCACGTCGCGAAATCGCGGCCGCGACACCCTCGCATGTCGTGTCGTTCCCTCTGTGCGTCGGAAGCACATGACCCACCGAGCAGCTGGTCTGCGACTCGAAAGTCTAACGAGAGGAAAAGCCGCGCCCAGGTTGGTTAGCGTGTTTTGCTGCGACCTCGGTGCCGCCGTTTTGCAACGCGTTTCCTAACGCCGAGTTCCCGGATCGCGATCAAATCCAGCGGAAACGAATTTCCAAGTGTCCTTCACGCGTATCGATTCTGGCAACACCGCGATTCGTAACTTCCAAATTTAACAAAGCTTGATCCTCTGTTACGCCCGGATCTTTTTCTCTCTTTGATTTGAATCAGATGAAATACTCGCGCGAGTTCTGCTCGCTAATCTTTCATGGCAAATCGAATCAGCTGCAACTTCATTCTTATCCCTTCAGCCTCAGCTATGGAATTTTCGAAATTGTGATCAGATTGTTCGTTTTGGGAAAGTTTTAGAAAACAGACTGCCTTATCCCAACCGGTCTCGGACGAATGTAGACGTTCGTTGACTACCGTCCGTAGGGACTCCAGGTTCTAGTACTTGAGGTCGTAAGTGCCAGGGAATTAGGTGGATGGAGTGATCAGTAACAGATCGTGTGTCGTTTCCGGCGATCTGGATATAGCTTGACGTCATAATCTTTATCTGCCTTGAAACACTCCTCCACCAGCGGACCGTGCAACAATGTGCCTTATTGTTGAATTAATCGCGCGGAGAAAGCGCCGCGAATATATACAGGATATCCGATACGAGATATCGTGATACAATTGACGAGGAGGTGATTCCTCTTCTCTCCTCTAATAAACAAGCGAAAGATAATTTTCTCTTAGGTTACATCATTTTTTATGTAATATACATATATCTGCCCGTATTTATACCGGCGTGGGAGGATTAAACTGCAATTGTTTGTAGCGAGCCTCGACAGTTGTATCATGATTTGCCGGACAGTCTGCATTCTCTAAGCGTTACATTGCTCATGTTATTACACCGGGGATACATGTGAATATTCAGATGAAGGCGCGACAACCAAAAATACTTATTTCCGCAAATCAGCGACAACGTTGTGACGATTCCAATTAATCACAACTGCTTTCTTAGAGTATTTCAAGATAAGTATCTAAGTGCCTACATGTTCGACGTTAATAAGATATACGAAGCTGCATACGAAATAATCTTCTTGAGAATTCGTTACGTACACAGTCTCTTTTATATTGCATTTGCCTGGACGTAACTGATTTTACAACGTCGACTTTTTACCTCGTAATTTGAATAAGAAGAAAAAGTGAATTTCAATTTATCGTGATTATCGATAGATAACGGACCGCAAATAATCCGGAGAAGTGTATTAAAATATAAAGTGCGTTACTCGAAACAAAAAAAGAAACGTTTGTCGATTGCGGTAGTACCATAAAGTATGCGGAAAAGAGACATTTCTGGGCGTCGCCTTTAATGCTAGAACGGCCGTCTTTTTTTTTACGGTAAAATGCAATAACTACCCAGTTGATTTTACCGACTAAAAGATATTTTGAGATGTATTTAAGACGATCCTTAAATATAAAAATTGGCTGTAAACAAGCCTTAGTGTGCACTCAGTGCGCACTAGTGCAAGCAACCGAATTCGCTATAAGATAAAGAAACAAATTTCATTGTCGTTTGACATACGAATACTTTTAACTTGGCCGTTCTAGTGTTAATGCGGGAGATAGAAAATCCCGATTCTTAACACAGATTGTTGACGAGAGATATCTCCAAGGTAACGGATGCCATATTACGTGTATATGAAGGAGCCCAAGATGTAGGTGTTGGCAGTTAGGGAAGAGGAGGGTGATAACGAAAGAAAAAAAAAACGGGAAAATATTTGTACATATTTTGTATATACGCATTTTAACGATTATATCTATGTGCGCCTGTAAACGTAAATATATGTATATTATACATGCATACTTATATAATATACGTATATGTATATATAAATTTATATACCTGCATATGTATATATTTATGTGTATATATATATGTGTGTGTATATAAATATATAAAAAACTTTGCAACATAGTGATTCACTTCGCATTATTTAAAGAAAAAGTGTATTTTTATCAATGGAACGTACGTTCGATTTTACAGAGCGTTTCGTAAACCTGCAAAAATCATAGAACAATTGCGAAATTAAACAACGAAATATATAATTGCCTTACATTCAAAATGCTGAATTTATTACGCTCATATTTAAAATTAAAGTTATACGTTATTATTATTATTATAATTATTATATATATATATTTATATATATAATATTATTTACTATCGCATAGCGCCTTATTGTATCAAATTAATGATAATATCAATAACGATGATGTTAATGGTATCGTTAAGAAATGCTAAATAGACGATAAACGTAATTTCATAAAAGAGAATACACACACACACACACACACACACACACACACATACACGATTCGCACACGTACATACAACATTACATGAGACATACTTACAGACTCGCAGGAAGAACCACAATCACAGTTTGATTTGTAAGTAACGGTTCGTATGGTAATGATTAAAAGGACAAAATACAGTATACTCTTGCCACATTCGTTTTGTGTTTGAATACCTCTTCTTTCTGTGCTTTCCGCGATCTTTCCTTGCTATTGTTCTACATTAAGTTGTTCTCATTTTTGTCAAGTGCTTCAGAAGAGTTTTGCATTGCATTAAAAAAATTAAGAACAGATTCCGTGAATCTGTAGTTTATTTGATCTGGTCCAGTGGAATCTACGTATGTGTATTTATTTATTTTATGAAATTGCATAGTTGCATATGCATGGCACAAGACCACTCTAGACCAATAAGCATGTTACGTAAATCAATATGGCGACTCAATGCTCGATGTTCATTGGTTTAAACGGTTTTCATGCTATGCACACGCAGCTATGCAAAAGTGTGTCCTCCCCGCTTTATCCTGGTATTATTTTGCGCATAAAAGCTAATAAAAAGAATTACAAGCGCAAGAACTATAGTATTTGACTGTGTCAAATGCTATAGTTTTTTTTTTTTATAGGAGGATCCCGCGGTCACCTTTTCTATTAATAGTTTAGTGGAAAATTGATTGTTAGATCGCGTAATCGTTGCGAAAAACAAAGACCTGTGAAATTGGACTTGTCGAAAATCTATCTCGTATTAGAATCCTATCTCATAACAGAGGACTCTCCTCCATTATTTCAAAATCAGCCCTTTATCGACACTGCTCGCTGCTTTGCCGACAATTCTCACCGAATTACCGCCAGAGGCCACCGCGGTCGCCGCAGTCGCGCGCGCGCTCTGACGTCGCGTGCGGCGTATTAAATTCAAATAGTTCGCACGAAGTTTCTCGTAACCGTTAGTAGTTCAGCGAGTACACCGACTACGCGAAGAAATGTAAACTTTGGCGTCCGGGAGCGTCTCCGAACTTGATTGACGAGCGTGAGCATGCGATTTGGGAACAACAGCGAGGCAAGGAGGGGCCGACGTAGCGTTCCTTCGTAAATCCTCGACAGCTACAAAGGTTGGGGTTCCGTGAACGATCTCTTACGAAGCGTGAACGTGCTTCTGTGTCCGGATGGGTTACCTCCCGTCTGGCACGATCCGTCTGTCGCGAGTGTAGAAGAATGTCGTGAGACACTGACCCCAGAAGCTCGTTTGCCGATACCTTCCTCGAGGTAAATGCCATTATCATCGAGCAAGCCTCGCCCGAACGACGCTGCGGTGGACCATGGAGTTGAGAAGCAACGAGAGATCGCGATACGAGCGGTCCAAGAAGGCGTTGGAGACCTGCGAGAAGCTTCGCGGCAAATCTACGTATTTCCGCGATTCAGACGAGAGGCCGCAGAAACTGGACGCGAGCATCAAGCAGCGGGACAAGTTGGCGCAGGAACTGGTGGCGGTACGATCGGATTTAGCTGGCATCAGGAGAAGCTTGGGTTGGTTTGTCTATCTAATTCAATCAACGAGGATACGTTACGTATTTCTAATATATTTTTTAATTCTTTTTTAATATTTTTCGCCTGACTTTTGTAGCCGAAGCTGCGGAATCTGACGCTGCAATGGGATCAGGAGGATCTCCGTACTTTGAGTACAAGTTTCCCAAGCAGTCGGAAAAATTGTCCAAGGAGAAGATGGAGCTGCAGGCAAAGCTGGATGAGAAAAAGAAAGAAGCCCAGGAGAAGCAGAAGAGAATACTTGACCTGCAGGACAAGGTCAGGGAGTTTTCTCAGATGGTGTCTCAAATGGAGGAGAAGACGCGGCGATTGGAAACTTCCAACAAGGAGAGGGACATATTTGAGAAAGAACTGATAGCCACAAGATCAGAATTGGCGGGCGTTAAGAGGATGTTAGGTATATAATTTAGTAACAGTTGTAGTAGCTAAATCCATATGTTGTCAAATTGCTGGAAACTTTCGTGGAAAAGAGTTGTATAGCCCACGATTGTTCTGATTTATATAACGCGGCGTCTACAATGAGATCTTTAAGATGTAAGATTTAAGAAAGTGGCCTATCACGCTCGAATATGAGGAGAATAATCGACTGCGATTGGTCATTTTCTTAAATCTTACGTATTGAAGATCTCATTGTAGCCGCATAAGACATGCCTGCGTGATACAATCTTAACATGTTGCTTCGGACAGAACTTGAACGGCAAGAGAGGAGGGAGCTGGAGACTCAAGCGCTTGAATTAATAAGAGACACTAAGCGCAAGTGGGAGAATGAGGAGAAAGAGAAGATCGCAAAATTCAACAAGCGTATCGAGGAACAGACTACAAAGATTACAGAACTGAGCATGAGCAATCATGAGTTGAGCTCACGTCTGCAGAGAGCAGAGGGCGAACTGGAGACTGCAAACGCAGAATTAGCTAAACTGCGTGTATTTCAGGTAAGTGACCGTTCAGCATATACATTAATACAACATAATATAATTCTCTATTAAATAATGTTTCAAAGTTCACGATGAAAGACTGTGAACGAAGGTAAAAGGTAGATGCAAACTAAGATCAATATTACAAAGTGTCTACTACCAGGAAAAATCTGGAATTCTCGGGGAATTTTTTGTACTTGAAAAATCAGCGAATTAGCGGGGAAATTTTGTTGTTGAGAGAGTAATTGTCTCTTCATTTTGTATTTCGCGAGTAATCGAAAGTTAACCGATCAAGTTAGTAACAAAGTGACAAACAAAACTGAATGTGTTTAGGAAGCGGTAACTAATGCTCCATCATTTTATTTTTAAATCTGATTTTCTTATATTTCTTCGAAAACTAAAATTTTTAATAATATAAAACGAAAAGCAAAAGGCGTTTTTCTCATTTGAAAAATTTTAGGACTTCATTTTTTTAACAGTAATAAAGACTTATTGTCATTAAATAATTAACCAATGTAGGAAATTATTGTACTATTCAACACAACTGGTAAGTTCTAATTAAAGAAATTTGTTGCAAAAAATATTTTTTTCTTAATTAAAGATTTTAATTAAAGAAATTTGCCAGTCGTGTCTAACATTACTTTCCTATATTGGTTAATTTTTTTAATGATTGTGCCAATAGGACACACTGACCGAGAAATAAGAATACACAATAGTTTTGAAAACCATTTTGGAAGTTTCATTGAAAATACCGGGGAAATGGGAGGGATTCTCAGGGACTTTTTTGTTCGAAAACTGAATAGATACCCTGTTAATTTTTTACTACATGTATAATACATGTGTAGGCACAGTATAAGGAATCCTTGGCGAAAACACGTGCGTTAAACAGACAAAGTGTACAAGGTGTAGAAATTAAGTTAGAGGAGATGGCCACGCGTGCTCACAATCAGCTGGCCGATTTGCGAGCGAAATTGGACTTTGAGGCACAGAAAAACACAGATCTCGAGACTAAATTACGAAACGAGCAGGACTCGAACCACTGTCGCGAGTCGAGACTAAATGTTGCTCTAGAACTCGCGCAAAACGAATTAAGAGACTGTCAGGAACAATTGCGTACCATACAAGCTACATTACCAGCCAGAGATGTCGAGATGGAGGCTTTACGTAAACAACTGCAAGAGAGGGCAAGACAGATAGACGATCTGAAATCGTCAGAGCAAATACTTACAACTATGGAAGAGCAATTAGAAAGAGCGAATCTTGAAAATGAACAATTGAAGCAGCAATTACAAGTAGATATCTAAAATATGTCTGTTGTACGAAAAATTAGTATGCTGAAGCATCATTAAATCTAATTACCTTTTCTTCACAGGCTACCAAGACTGATTTAAATGAAACCATGATGAATTTGCAGCAGAGTGAAGCGCTTGCTGTAAATTTGGAGCAGGCAGCGCAGGATAAGGCTACGTTGCAAAAGAGATTGAAGGATTCTTTGGTAAAGGAGGGTAAGTAAAATTATAGAAGCGAGAGATCATTTCTGTTTTTGTTATTTAATTGCTATTTATAATCGCAGAGGAACAATTGCGCAAAGTTTGCAATTTAGAGGGATTGCTGAAACGGTTGGAGCACAGTGTTACAAAGTTGGAAGCAGAGAACGCTAGTCTCAAACAATTGGATGAAGCACCAGCGGCAACTCGCGCAGCAGTTATTGATACAACCACTGATACGAAGGTATTTCATGGACATGAAGAAATAGAAAAACTGAAACAGCAACTTCAGACATTGCGAGAAGAACTAACAGTTAAGAAGCAAGTGGCGAAAGAAGCTCAGTTGGCTTTGTGGAAGAAAGAAAAAGAACTATCAGATGCTAATTTAGATAAACGTATAGCAGTGAGGGAAGCTAAACGGGCCGAGGATAAAATAAAGATGCTGCAGGAAGAGAAACAAAAGTTACATGAGAGATTAAGCGGTAAAGCAAAAGAGGAAGAGGAAAATTCTAAGAAACTGTTGAAAGAATTAAATATCGCAAAGACATCATTGAATGATATTACAAAAGAAGCATCTAGGAATAAACTGCAGGCCGATTCAGCACAAAGGGTATATATTTAGTAAAGATTGTTTTTTAATTTTTTAAATTTTTCGTCGATAAATTAAAATTTCTATAGAAAAAGAAAGAATCTGGTTTTGTTGGATGTTTTTATTATTTATTCTTAATTTATTTCTCAGGCTTTGACCCAAGCTAATCATCAAATCGAGGAATTACAATCTTCTAGCGCATCACTACGTAGAGAATTGGATGCGGCTCGAAAGCAAGTACGATCAAGTCAGGAACGTCTTGATACTCTAAACGCCGAGAACAGACGTTTGACACAGACAGTCGCTAGGCATAATGAAGAAAAGACTGACCTTGAGTCCAAAGTGGCAAAATTAGAACAGGATATCAAGGGCTACGAACTGAATATTGAGTTGCTAAAAGAAACCTGCACAGTCTTAGAGGAGCAGTTAACAGATTACGAGAGATTGACAAGCGACCACGAAACGCGTGAGAATATGTTGGTCCAGGATAAAATGAAGCTGCAGAAAGACTTGGAGGCTGCCGAGACAAAGGTACGCGAGGCGCATATTGCGCAGAACGAAGAGAAAACGCGAAGAAAATTAGCCGAAAGTAACATCAAACAGTTGGAATCCGAGACGAGTGACATAGAAAGCGAGAGAAATAGTCTTGTCGTTCAAAGGAACCAGTATAAAAAACTCGCTCAGGAACTTACTATACAAGTAGAAGAATTGAGTATGAAGTGCGGCGAAATGGAGTGCGATCTCTCGGAAATGAGTCGCGCTCTAGAAGCCGTTAAAGGAGAATCGAGAAACGTGAAAGAGGAGAGCAGCGAATACTTGACGAGATTGCACGAATTGAAAGAAGCAAATTTCGGGCTTATGGCCGACTTGCAGACCAGTATAGATCAAGGTCAAAAACTGAGGTTGGAAATAGCAGAGATTGAAAACGCCTCGAAAGAGATGGAACAATTGTTTCGGGAGAGAGAGGTGAAGGCCGAGACCACTCTGCAGCAACAAAACAAGCTGATTAATCACCTGCAATTGGAATTGGAGAAATATAGTAAGAAGAAGAAGACTGTGTGCGACAAAATACTTGGTGTGAAGCAGAAGGAGAACATGCCGCCTGTGGGTATAGGCATGCCTGTAGGATATCGTGAATTGGAGAATCAACTCGCGAATGAACAGGCGAAGGTGAAGATGTTGACGGAGCAGGTGTTGATCCTGAAGAGAGAATTGTCTAGAGTTACCTCCGCACCTATGTCTGTATCTGCACCCACGTCCCCGACGACACCAGAACGCGAAGGCAAAAGAGCGAGGGGTGTCATGGAGACCAGCAGCTCGTTACTTAGACAATTGTCTCCACAAAGGATAGGACACAATATTCCGCATAGATTTAACGTCGGATTGCCTATGCGTGCCGGAAAATGCGCCGCGTGTCCAAAGGCTATACAGTTCGGAAGACGTGCGGCGACCTGCAGCGAGTGTCAAATCATGACACACCTGGAGTGCACGGTATCTGTACCTGCCAGTTGTGGTTTACCAAATAGTTTCCCTAAATACTATCATGGAGATAGCGATGAGAGCTTATCGTCGATCGGAGATAGCGTCCAGACTTTGGCGATAGATCAACCGGACAAACTAGATACGGTAAGAAATCAGGTTTATTCCACGTCTCCTTAATTTCGTAACAATTTGTGTATTCATATAAATCCAGAGGCATCATTATCACACTGGTTAAAACCAAGTATCAATGTGGTCTTAGCATGATACGTACGCGCATGCGCGTACGCGCGGCGCAGACCAGCTGCAGTCATTTTAACACTGCGAATTTCAAATGAAGTTTGTAATTTATACAATACTTTGTAAATTAAGTAAAAAATTAATTTTTCTTTTTTCTTTTCACTGCACGACTATAATCTTGGGCTGGATTCAGACTGCGAGTAAGATTTAAGAAAGCAAATATTCGTCATTATTTATAAGAAATAAGTTATAATTGTTTCTATTACGTTTTTTTATTTTACCTTTTACTTAATTAATTTCAATTTGCCCTCCTTCTCCCTACGTCACCAAACTGATCAGGAAACAGCTAATGTCTCTGCATATGCACCTTGCGCAGGATCTACAAAGTACTCCTTGCAAAGAAAACGAAGTTTCCATGGAAGGATGGGTAAAAGTTCCTGGTAGATCCAAGTCCTGCTGGGAGAGAAAGTACCTGAAGTTGGAAGGATCGTGTCTGTGCGTTTACGAGCATCAGCCGCGCGCGGGAATGGCACCGATCAGTCGTTTAAATTTGATAGAGAATAATGGCTTTAATGTTTCCGAAATGGTACCGCAACCTGATGTCTTAGGAACGGCAAAATCCGACATCCCATTTATCTTTAGAGTAGAATCGAATTCTGCAACGACTTGCTGGCCTTCATCTAGATTGGACATTATGGCGCTGAGTCAGGCTGACAAGAGGAACTGGCTTAAAACTTTAAAAACCATTACTATTCAAAGTTTATGTCCTATGCCAAAATGTAAAAAATATGAAACTGTACTCAGATTAGAAAGACATCATGTGAGTAGTGATTGATAATTTGTGCGTTATGCCCGTTTTATAAAAATATAAAGAAAGCGACTCTAGCTGTGGATTTGTTTGACAAAATAAAAAGTAAAATTGTAGTTGCTCCTTCCTCTTTGATACAAATCTTTATTTTTACATCAAGATTTTCATTAATTTTGTACTGACGTTACTCTATTTGTTTCTAGTTGGATTTAAACTGTGTTGTGGATCTAGGCGTAGAAAATGTGCTTTTGCTAGGTGCGAAGGAAGGCCTGTTTTCGTATTGCGCATCCAAATCTCAAACGCTCACTACGATACGCGGTGTCAAGCAGATACACCAGCTCTCTTTACATTCCCATTTAGATCTGGCTTTAATGATAGCCGGTGAATACAGGGAATTAGTACACTGTAACTTGAGGCTACTGAAGAATAATGCGTTGGCCGCCGATTGTTCTAGACCAGCAATCAGTACAAAGAGCGTATTACCTGTATCTGATAGTTGCCATCTTTACCAATTGCAAGGCGATATACTATGCGCCGCAACCGCATCTCATGTGATGTACGTAATTTCTAATCCATTTATGAGAATTATATAGACTATTGTAATAATATAATTCTGAATATTATTTTTTTATATATTAATACAGATTATTGAAATGGAGAATCGGAGAAGATTCCGGGGAATTTGTCAGGTTTCGTGAGTTTGATACGCAGGAGCCTTGCAGTTGTGCCATATTTACTGCAAATCTCCTTATTGTAGGTTGTCAAAAATTTATGCAGATCGATCTGCGAACTTATGTTGTAAACGGTAGGCACATTCGTATAAATACAATTTATATATTACAATTCGTAAATCTAGTAATTTCCCAGTAGTAAACGTGTCATAATTTTCGTCTGAACAAAATATATAATTAAAAATATATATGTACATATTATAATTCGAAACAATTGATGCATTTATTCACAGAGTTTCCAGACGAGGACAATAGCTCCATTAAAGCGGCAATATCGGGCGCAGCTAAACTTGACATATTTCCTGTGTGTATTCTCAATCTTTCCAATACACACGGCACGGCGGAGCTTTTACTGTGTTACAATGAATTTGGTGTATTTGTGGACGAAAATGGTAGAAGGACTCGCGCTGTTGATCCAGTGTGGAATCATTTACCATTCGCTTTTGGTAGCGATCAATTTAATTACACATTAATGTGACAAACTTGTTTATTATGTAAATTATTCTGTTAATAATTTGTTGTTTCAGCATTCTGCAAACCGTACTTATTCATTATTCATTTCATGTCTGTTGAGATTGTGAAACTCGACGCGGAAGCATACAATTCTTCCGAAAAGAATCCTGAACGTACCTTAATTGAATTACCTAGTCCGCGTTATTTAGGCACAACTGGTTCAAAAGGGATTTATGTGGCTACTATTAATTCTTACTTTGAATTACTGAAGATAAATGGTTTTGTCAGTATGCCAACACTGACCGGAAGTTTAACAAGTCTCGACACATTGTAAGTCGTCTTTTTTTTTCTAAAAATTACCTACATATAAACAAAAATATTTTAATATACCAAATTACTAATTGCATTTATTTTTTGTCAGGGGACAAGAGGACGAAAGTAGCTCAGAATTTAGTTTTACGTCAAGCTTAATGGAGACTTTAGACGGACAGGGAAAAAAAGTACATTTTGCTGGAGTGCATAAATATTAAAATAGGTACACAAACATTTAATTTAATCTTAACATTGTTTCTTGGCTATATTTATTTGTTTATATCTGAAGAAATACGACGTGTGTAGAGCAAATAAGTTTAAAACGGAATAATATCTGATTTATAATCAGTTATCGTACTTCTTTAATAGAACTTGAACGTTTCATTAAAATAAAAGACACATAAGTTATATATTTAATAAAGATCTCAGATGCTTGCCATATTATTAACCCTCTGATCGTTGTCTTTTTTTTGTACGTTCAATCCTGCCTACATTAATCTATTTATTCATAAACTTTTTGAGACGTTTATAATTGAATTAATTGAATATACCGAACAGAACGCTTTATAAATATTGTGTTGAATTAGTAAAATTGAATAAATTTAGTGTGTCATGAGTAATCAGAGGTCATGAGTAATTCAGAAAGATAAAAAGATCAAATAGCACACGGTACTTATTCATGGAATTCTAAATTTAAAAAAAATGTTTGTAGGTAACATTAAGCTTTATGTTTCTCTCAAAGTACAATCGCGGCAAATATATAAGAATATTTTTTATCTATAAATAAAAAGAGTAAGAATAATAATACTTAGATAATTATATTATGTAAATTAATACGACAACGACATAGAATATCATAATATATTCTTTATATATCAAAAGAAAAACTTTTGTATTTTTATAACTTAGTTTAAAATGAAATGTAAGGACAAATAAAAATATCTTACAGTACATTGTGCAGTTTATGTCACTACTATCTGTTTTTAGTACTTCCACGCTATTTCCGAAAAAAAGTTGCGTGTAATATTAACGCTTAGAAGTATTTTTCTTTTGCTTCTGTTTCTTTTTATCGTTACTTTCCTCTCATTAAAACAACATGTCACAGTCTGAAAAAATATTTTACCGAACGTTCTAGAAGTCAATCGTAAAGTTGTGTGTACTTGTGTAACATTACAGCACATTGTGTTACGACGTACATAACTAGTAGGAGACGTTAATGAAGGTATATTATGCATTCCGATGCGATATCCGGCCACCCTTGACTTCTGTGCCTCTACAATACCGAATATTCATTACACGGGCGGTAGCAAAAAATCAAACATTTTGTTCTGCGACTTACTACAGTTGATTTTGATGGCGAACAGCCGGTTTTTATTATATATATAAAATAACCGGCGCATATATATATATATATATATATATATGCGCGCGCGCGTGTGTGTTACAATATACAAAAATTTTCAGTAATTGGAGCACTATTGCAACAGCATATTTCTGAGACCAAATCAAGTAAAAAAGTCCTGTACTAATTTTCCCTCCGACAGTTATTGAGATATCATAAGCTAAATATTGGAAGTTATCAATTTCCTCTTGAATATCTCAAAAAGTATTAGCCAAATAAAATATGTTTCAGACAAAAGTTGTTCATATCAATTAGTAGAATAAGACAGTATAATAAACAATAGAGGTTTTCATTAATTCCATTAAAAAAATGGAAGGTGACTTTCACGTGACCTTCAAGCAACTGTTGAAGATCAAATTAATTACACCATGTCTCCCTCGGAACCAAACAACTTTTGCCAGAAACATTTTCTAGTAAAACTCTTACTTATCGAGATATTTGACCGTGTCCAGACTTTTTTAATACCCAATGTATGAAGGTTAAAACTCTTTTGCCTACAGGAAATCACAATTAAAAAAATGTTCAAAAATGTACAAACGTAATTAGTAGTATAGTAATCATTTGCGCATTTACTGTTAGACACGATGAATAAAGAATACGAATCGTACAAAACAAAATATTAACAACTTATGTCGTTTTATAAATATTAATGCTTTTATTTCGTTGTCTTAAAAGTGAAGAGTTATGTAAGAAATATAAAAATGTGGAGTACATAGATGAAAAATGTACACATGTGACTTTGATACAATGTAATAACTTGGGTTACAAATATACAAATAAGATTAAACATTTCGCATATGAGTAAAACCAATAGATACGTTGTAACTTTGTTATACAGGTTATTAAATTCTATAGTTATATGTATATTAATTAAATCTATTGTAATCAAATCTGCATTTCTACAATAGCGAATAATGTTTCTCTTCTTTAACGAAATGCATATGTTAATTGAAATGTATGTAGTATAGGTACTCTCATTGTATTATGCACACTCACGACCAGAAATTTATTATAATTCTGTGATTACTTGTAAAATGTTGTGCTCTTGTCTTACATAACGCTTGAGATAATAAGTTAGCCGCTCACGAAAACAGTTTGATACATTTCTCACCAACAATGCAAATGTATAAAGGAAGTTCAAAGTTCCAACAACTCATAAGGTAGGGATGTTCTTCGATACAAAAGCACTGATTTCCGTTGTCTCACCTTTCAGTTGTAATGCAACGTTCACAGAAACGGTTCGTGAGCTTATTAAGTCCCCTATAATAATAAACAGATTGATACAGTTTTATACGGTACGAGGATTATTAAGGGAATTGTAAATATTTCTCATAATTGATAAAATTAATGAGACATTTCTTAACTGAGAAAATAATATTTTAACAACCAACTTCAGCAGCATTATTTCTTTTCTTCATATTAACGTAACGAGAAGGTGAAAACGATGCCTGCCCTGAAATCGAGTAAGAAGATTTACAAGACACCTGAACCTGGCAACGAAATCGTTATCTCCGGTATTGCCGGAAGATTTCCAGAATCCAAGAATGTAGAGGAGCTCAAAGACAATTTATTGAATAAGGTGGACCTGGTCACGGATGATAATCGCCGGTGGGAATTAGGTAATTAATAAGTTACAATTAATAAAAGAGTTTTAACTGCTATAAATACAATTAAATATCGTTATTGTCAGTAACGTATACTAAATATTAAATCTCTTACGCAGACAAGTATTATTTTATACTTTTTCCATAAAACGATATCAAATAATATATGTATTTATAACTTTATATTTTATATGTATTATATACAGGGTGTTCCGCAATTCGTGACCGAAATTTTAATAACGTATTTCTGAACAAAAAGTAAAACGAAAATCCTAATACAAAAATGTCGAGGCTATAATACTTTTCAAATGGGAAGCATTTATAATAGACAAATCAGGTAGTCTAAATTTAGACTACCTGATTTGTATTATAATTTAAGTATAAAAGTATTATAGCCTCGACATTTTCGTATTAGGATTTTCGTCTTACTTTTTGCTCAAAAATACGTTATTAAAATTTCGGTCACGAATTGCGGTACACCCGTATATATTATATAACATAGAGACGTATACATAGATGTATTTGATATCGTTTTATGGAAAAAGTATAAAATAATATTACGTATACTAAATATTATTACGTACACTAAATATACTAAATATGACACAGTTGAATGTATCTTTATTCTAATCGTGTAATTAAAGCTCCCAGGATAGATACGATGATTTATTATATTTTTATAAATACTAACAGATCATCCGGAGATCCCTCATCGTACAGGAAAGATTAACGATATCGGCAAATTCGACGCGTTGTTCTTCGGGGTCCACTTCAAACAGGCCCACACGATGGATCCGATGTGCAGAATGTTATTGGAGCACGCTTACGAGGCTGTCGTTGACGCGGGAGTTAATCCAAAGCAGTTGCGTGGGTCGCGAACCGGCGTTTTCATAGGCGCGTGTTTCTCTGAATCTGAAAAGACTTGGTTTTACGAAAAACTACAGGTACATCATTAATACATGGCAAATGAGACAAACGTTAAATCGAGACTACACACTTTATCAATTTAGATTTCGATGTAGAGAGAATTTCAAACGTCGGAAAGTTCACATTTCTTCAAAATTTGCGATTACTCGCTCGCTTATTGCTAAAAATAGAATCGAAAGATGTAGGAGGCAAAGTTCCCAGCAATTAAAGTCGGTACAAAGTTATTTCCTACTCTTAATTTTCTTGCGATGATTAGGTAAATGGCTTTGGAATTACCGGGTGCAGCAGAGCCATGCTGGCGAATAGGATTTCCTACTGGTTAGGAGTGATTGGACCATCTTACACTGTGGACTCCGCCTGCAGCTCGAGCTTGGTTGCGTTGGAGCACGCTTATCGCTCAATATGTGACGGCCAATGCGACGCCGCTATCGTGGGCGGATCGAATCTATGTCTTCATCCCTACGTATCGCTGCAATTTTCTCGTCTCGGTACGAACCCGATCCTCGATTACGTTATAACAAGAAAGAAATGGAAACTCATGTTTTCCTGTAAAGATTTGTGTTGTAAGAAATACAAAATAAAAAGAAAATTGTACTTATTATTAATAAGGTAATTACAACAATTAATAATCAAGTTAAATTTATTGTAAAGAAATACTTTATCTGTGTCGTGCCAAAGGAAATATTCGTATACGAAGAGAGCTTAAGAGGAGAGAAAGATAGAGACTCTTGTTACAATTTCAGAACTTTCTGGTAATTAGTCGCATATTAACGATAGCACAATGAATTACGTAATTGCACAGCATCCAAGCATATCTCGTTTTCTTGTGGTTCGCAGATATTGTACATACAGATATCGGTGTAATTTTTTTCAACAGCATGCAGTCACTTCGTATCTCTGTCACATTTTTTAGCAATAGAATATTTTTTAATTAAGGCACGTACACCTTTTTTTTTAACATAATACTATTGTATACTTAATAATACAGCATAGTGTAAACACTAGGTTTAAGTTTTACATGCACTGAGAAACCAAAAAATTCGTGTGACTCGCTTTATTGTAATACTTGCTTTATTGCGGTGTCGAAGTCGCCGAATAAGTCGAATAAGAATTCGATGTAAAGAATGTATTTAACTGACAGTTATATCATACGTATAGGGTGTGATCCCAGGTAAAAGAGCTAATAATGTAATACATTAGAAAGTAAGACCTTTTTTACACAACGTCTTGTTCTCAAGAGAATCAATAACTACTGTATAAAGTATTGCGGATACAATAAGCGATTATTTTCGTATATTTGATGATAATGATGATTGTAGGGGTTTTGTCGCCTGACGGCCGTAGTAAAGCGTTTGATGCTGATGCGGATGGCTATGCTCGCAGCGAGACAGTTTCCGTCATATTTCTACAGAAGGCGAAAAACGCGAGACGGATCTACGCCACATTGGTCTACGGTAAAGCGAATTGCGACGGTTACAAGGAGCAAGGCATCACGTTCCCGTCAAGCAAGATGCAGGGAATACTGATGAAAGAGTGTTACGAGGATTGTGGCATACCGACGAGCGATCTGGTCTATCTGGAATGCCACGGTTCCGGCACCAAAGTCGGCGATCCCGAGGAGATCAACGCGATTGAGAACATCATCTGTAAAGACAGAACTACCCCTTTATTAATTGGTTCTGTTAAGTCGAATATGGGTCATTCCGAGCCTGCTAGCGGCCTATGTCAAGTTGTCAAGGTGACTCTTTTTTTAAAAGGAATATCAGCGTTTACATTCAAACTCTTTTGAAAATTTTTCGCAATAAACTCTCTGCATTATTAAAAATGCCATACATTATATTTAGCCCTAAATTATTTAATCCTAATTAAAATTGTTGCCAATATTGTAAGTATTCGAATATTTGACTAAAATGGTAAAAAGGAAGTAGCTAGGTTTATGCCACATTAATTCATTATGTTACTACTTTTATCCTAGATGATAATAGCAATGGAAACTGGATTAATTCCACCCAATTTACATTACAACCGGCCGCGAGAAGGCTTGAAAGCTCTCGGAGATGGCAGGCTCAAAGTCATCACCGAGCCGACACCATGGGATGGCGGTTACGTGGGTATTAACTCCTTCGGTTTTGGAGGTGCCAATTGCCACGTCATATTGAAATCGAATCCGAAAAAGAAAATCAACAATGGAGCACCAACTGATGATTTACCGAGACTCGTCGTAGTATCCGGACGTACGGAAGAGTCTATTAAAGTATTCTTAGACGACGTAAGTAAAGATCGAAGAATGACGATGTTGAAAGAAAAATTATATCAAAATTAAGTAATATGAAAAATAGAAAATGAATGAAATCAGCCATATATTAATAAATTGGATAGTTTATGGTATCTTTACGTATGTATAGAACAAGGTCTCCTATTATGAGATAAGCTCCTAACATAAGATAACGGGTTTTCAACATTCAATTTTTTAAATCTTTTTCGAAACAATTACTCGCACCATTTTCCACTAAACAAATTTCACTCCAGGGACAATAAATTTATGAAACCAACAAATGATGCCTATTAATTTAACAGAAACTCCGCTGTCTCATATTAGGAGGCTTATCTCATACAGGATTCTCCTTTAATTACGAGGTTTGGTAGATTTCCTCGGTGAAAAATCGACACAGAGAGAAATGCTCGTCGAGGCATATTGATTGGATGCGGTATAGATTCGTGAGAAAATTTATTTTTATGTTTTCGTAGATCGAGAGACACCCGATAGACACTGAATATATTCATCTGCTGCACGACATTCATTCTGAGGATATTCAGGGGCATCTGTATCGAGGATACACAGTAATCGGCTCGAAAACGGCGGACCGTGCCTTAAGAGAATCAGAAAATTATTTGGGAACTGTAAAACCACTTTGGTTCGTGTTCTCCGGTATGGGGTCGCAGTGGCCTGGCATGGGTACGTATCGCATTTCGTTTTAATCTCTAAGAATGGAAATTATTATATTTTACTCTAATACGTTTTTGTTTATTGATTTGTTAAATCGAAATAGGTACTGACCTGATGAGATTCCCCGTCTTTGCCGAAGCTATTAAAAAATGCGACGCTGTCTTACGACCGCGCGGTGTAGACATCATTAATATACTAACAAACAAGGACAAAACTATTTTTGACAATATTTTGCATTCGTTTGTGGGTATCGCGGCAGTACAGGTGAGCTGCTATAGTGTGACACTCACATTTTTATTTCTTCTGATGAACTATATTCAAAAATATTGATTAAGCGCCAAAATTATGAAAGAACGACTGGCGTGATGATAATAAAATTTTAAAAATTTCGAAAATTGAATAACAAAAATTGAAGTAATTTAATAATAAAGTGCAATGTACAATGAGATATATTAATATTTTTATATGAAAAGTCACATATATTCAATTTTTCAAAATTAAGACTAGATATTACATTATTTTAATTAAGAATTTATAATTAAAATGTGTCAAGCGTGTAAAATCATTAAATTTTAGAAATTTCTGATAATTCTTCATTGTATTCTGATACAATATGAATTTGATAGATTGGTCTGGTCGATCTTCTCACATCGATGGGTATTGTGCCGGATAATATTATTGGTCACTCCGTCGGAGAGCTCGGTTGTGCTTATGCAGATGGATGCTTCACTGCCGAACAAATGATCTTGTCGGCGTACTCGAGAGGTTTGGCTTCCATCGAAACTGAAGTAATTTACGGTTCGATGGCGGCTGTCGGTCTTGGCTACGAGGACATCAAAGATATGTGTCCACCCGATATCGAAGTAGCTTGTCACAACGCTGCCGACAGCAGCACTATTAGTGGACCCGCTGAGTCGATGAAGGAATTTGTCGCCCAACTGCAGGTTCTATTACTAACTTACTTTCATTCAATAATGAAATTCTAAATTGTACTGATAAAAAATATAATATAGATGTATGTAAATTTATTTTTATTATTTTAAACACATTTAAATGTAAGAGTTTATCGATTGAAAACGACGTCAAGACATTTACCAACGTGTTAAAATACAACGATACATGCTACATTTGTACATTATGTATATAACATTTTCATTACGGGTTTAATTATTTATTTTATTGCCGAATTTTAATTGTCGTCTGTGTCTTTCTTTCAATATTCGTCCTAATTAAGTCTACATATATCTAACCAGGCTAAGCAAATCTTCGCGAAGGAAGTGCCATGCAGCAACATACCTTATCACAGCCGTTACATCGCACCCGCCGGCCCAAAACTTCTGGCTTATCTGAACGAGGTAATTCCTCAACCGCAGCCGCGCAGCAAGAAATGGGTAAGCTCGTCTGTGCCACGCAACAAATGGTCCACCGCGGCTGCCAAATTGTCGTCCGCCGAGTACCACACCAACAATCTTCTGAGTCCTGTACTATTCGAGGAAACGGCGCGTATGATCCCGAAGGAGGCCGTGACCATTGAGATCGCGCCCCACGGTCTTCTGCAGGCCATCCTGAGGCGATCCCTCGGTTCAGGAGTCACGAATGTCGCGCTCACTCAGCGCGGTCATAAAGATAATGTCGATGTTTTCCTACAAGCAATTGGCAAGCTCTACAATGCAGGACTACAACCGGATATTGCGATTCTCTATCCACCTGTCGAGTATCCAGTTAGTGCCGGTACCCCAATGATCTCACCTTCTATTAGGTAGGTGCTTGCCGAAATCATTTACATATTCAATTATTTAATATAAAATCATTTTTACGCTCAATTTGTCAAAATGTAATTGTCCCTCGATCATCTTCTCTTACGAAGAGAACAATGAATGATAAGAATGAGGAAAAGCTGCATAAAAATTACTTTGAGAATCCTGTTAAGCTTCATCGAGAGATTAGGATGATAAACGATTTGATTTCCTTCAAGGTGGGAGCACTCTGACGACTGGTACGTAACGTCATTTAAGATGCAAAAGAAGACCACCTCCGGAGAGAGAGTCGTTTCTTTGTCGCTAGCAAACGAGGACGATAAGTATATGATCGGTCATGTTATCGATGGGCAGAATTTGATCCCTGCCATGGGATATCTTGCTATGATTTGGGAAACTATAGGTATCTTGTATGTGGAAATGTACACAGAGGTATCGGTCGTCTTCGAAGATGTCAACTTCACACGTGTTATCCATATACCGAAAGATGGCGAGGTTCAGTTATCAGTGATGGTGCAAAAAGGTATTATTATTGTTTATATTCATACAAAATATATACAGAATGCTGTTGTAATTAACAATTACTGCCACTGTATCGACATGTTTTAACTTACGCGTCATTTAATTTATAGTTCAATACAAAGTCATCAATTACAATTGCATTTATTTATACTTTTATACAGAATACGTAATATTTTTATCCTAAGAGTTAATTTTTTTATTGAAACTCATGGATTGGATCAATTTTTCATGTGATAGCAAAATTCCAAATTTTAAAATTAAATTTTAAACTGTGCAAACCTAAATCGATAGACTAGACGTGTAAAATAGGACGAAAACTTTTCCCTTTTGTTTGTTTAATTAATAATAAAAACTCGTATAAGCAAATTGAATTATGTCTAATCAAAAACGGAAACAAATTGTTTGACAGCTGCTAAATTAAAATAAATATTTGCTTTTACATTAAATTATGTAATAAAATGGAAGTTGTCGATATAACTTAACACTGCAACAATTATCTTAAGCATAAAAATACTGCGCTAAAATGAAAAATGCTGCTGCACGTTGCAAAAATAATGTAGTTTTTTGATGTGTCAACAAGCATGCATACATTTTTGTGTCGATATAAAATTCATTTCTTATTTTCACCGTTGTGAATTAAGTCACCATTGTCAACAAAGACTTGGCAATCGAGTAAGTATGAACCTTAATTAATCGCAATACTTATTTCTACAGGCACTGGAAGATTCGAAATAACGGAAGGTAATTCTGCGGTTGTAACTGGATTCATTCGAGTCGTGAAGAACCCGACACAAGAGAAGGTACCTGCTTCACTTTTGCCAGAAGATGATGACGAGGAAGAGGTGATGAATACCAAGGACATTTATAAAGAGCTACGATTACGGGGTTATCAATATTCAGGCAGCTTCTGTTCCTTAAAAAGCGCATCCATATCAGGAAAGAAGGGACACATTACTTGGGCAGGTAATTGGGTGACATTCATCGACAACATGCTGCAGATAATGATGCTTGGAATGGACACGAAAAGTTTATATGTACCTACAAAAATACAAAAGATCGTGATTGACACTAAGCTTCACCAACAGGAAGGCCAAAATCTAAATTCAGAAGACAAACGTAAGTTCATACATTTGGTTTCTCGTGTATCTCACGAGGTTTGCTTGCGAAAGAAGATTAACTACATTTCTTAATTCAAACGTAACATACGTGCGATAACTATGGATTTTAAATCGTTATCAATGTAATTATATTCTGTTTATCTACTCGTATAGACCAGAATAAATCTTAAAGAACTCAACTTCTTAAAGAAAGAAACTTAATTAGAGATATCTTGTTAAATTCAATTTTCAATAAAGCTGAACTTTCAAGTTCACTCTATACAAGTATATAAATGTTTAAGAAAGAAGTCATATATGATATAATCAATATCAAATTTTAATGAGAAATATATTACGCATCATGTAATGAAAATTATGAATAGTTCTTCATTACTCTTATCATAATTCTTACACTAATAAGTCTGATATGATTACTATAATTACACATACAATATATAAATACAACAATAATAATGATAATATGACTGCAATTTTTGTTACAGAATTCCCCGTGCATGTGTACAAAGAATGGGAAGTCATAATGTCAGGGGGAGTCGAAATCCGTGGTGTCAAAGCTACGGCTATACCTCGCCGACCACCAGCCAAAATTCCAGTCCTCGAAGAATACAAATTCGTGGCTCATCGTGACAGAGCGCAAGTGTCCCTAAAAGAGGCGATCAGATTGTCCACGCATATCGCAATCGAATGTCATCAAAGTATTCATGTAAAGACCATCGAGTTGATTGACGACTCCGACAATGTAACAGTGGATAAATTAGCGTCACCTGTGCTTACTGAGATTCTGGATGATTTGCCCTTGATTCAGCCGAAGGTGTATCTGTCAGCACCTTCTAATCGTTTTGACAATAATTCGTTACCCTCTAATGTGATCCCCATAGATATGAGTAAAGTGCCCAAAGAAGAGAATATTCTGCTTGCTGTCGGTATCGGGCTGCTATCGAGGAATAAGACACAACAATTGGAAAATATTCTGTCGAAACTGAAAAACGGCGGTTTTATATTGACACGAGAAAGACTGTCCAAGTTCGAGAATCTTTCGTCATCTTCAAAGCACGACTTAAACGTGATTCTAGAGAAGAGTATTGGCGAAGAGACTATTGTACTTTTAAAGAAGAAGAAACAGTTGGCCAGAAAAACGGAAATCATCCATGTTAAAAACGACCAGTTTACCTGGCTCGAAAAGCTGAATTCGCTCATGAATGCGAAGAGTGAGGCGGTCGACATGAGGGTAATACTCATCGGTGAGGGAGAATTGGAAAGTGGTTTGCTAGGCTTCGTTAACTGCTTAAGAAAAGAACCAGGCGGAGAAATTATCAGAAGCGTATTGATACAAGATACCAAAGCCCCTAAATTTTCTTTACAAAACATATTATACTGGGAACAGCTTCAGCTTGATTTGCCGATTAATGTATTGAGACCGGGGAAGGAATGGGGTTCCTACAGGTATCAGCCGCTTCCGGGTCCACAGCCGAAGCTTGTTTGTCACGCCTATGCCAATCAAATGGTACGTTGTAATAAGAAAACATGTTGTAATTCTGAAGCATAAACGTGCGTACGCACATACATTTGTATTGTCATTACTGTTATACATATGCGCAGTATAATATATCATATATATTGTATAATATAATGTATAATATAATTATTCTATTTTTAATATATTTATGAAAACTAGACAATTGGCGACTTAAGCTCGCTTCGTTGGATCGAGGGCCCTATACGTCCTGACAGCAATCAAAAGGACCTAGTCCATGTAGCGTACTCGTCTCTCAACTTTAGGGATATGATGTTGTCCACAGGCAAACTCGCTAAGAATAATACCTCATTCGTGCCTAGCCGATTCGACGATTGCATCATCGGCCTGGAGTATGCTGGTATCGATACCACTGGTCGTCGTGTGATGGGACTCAGCTGTCGTGGAAAGTAATGTTCTTATTAAAAATGTATACTTCGTATACTTTGACACGAAATCATACATTGAAAAATTGTTTCATTACACTATTTAAAAGAAGAAATGTATCACGCAATGTGTTGTAATAATATAAGACTATCAAGTTCCGTTATTTTCCAAAGTTTATTAACATATTTGCGATTAGATTATCGTAGATGTACGCGAGAGCTTTTGCAAATTTTCGATTTTTCATACTGTGTATGAGCTTTAATTATTAATGTTCACATTAGTGACCGCTTATTGATTAATTATCATTATATACTATCATCTCTACGATATTTTGTATTCTAAAATAGAAGTTGAGATTTGTACGATCAATATTTACTACTTTTCAGAGCTATAACGAATGTCATTGAAGCTGATAGAAGATTCTGCTGGTACGTGCCTGACAATTGGTCACTGGAAGACGCGGCCACCGTACCATGCGTGTATGCGACATGCTACATGGCTCTGTATCATCGTGCTGATATGAAGGAAGGCGACAAAGTGCTCATTCATTCTGGCACTAGTAGCGTCGGCCAGGCGGCAATAAATCTAGCTCTTCACGAAGGCTGCGAAGTGTTCACCACCGTCGGAACGCCAGAAAAACGCAAGTTCATCCGCGAGCTATTCCCGTCGATTCCAGATAATCATATTAGCAGTTCGCGCGACACTAGCTTCGAACAGATAATACTTCAGCAAACGAACGGTAACGGGGTGGACATCGTTTTAAACTCGTTGACCAAGGAGAAGCTCCAAGCGTCGGTTCGCTGTCTGGCACAGGGTGGTCGTTTCCTGGAGATCGGCAAGTTTGATCTCGCTGCAAATAATCCCTTGGGAATGATGATCTTCTTGAAGGAAGTTAGTTTCCACGGAATTTCGTTTGACAACTTGTTCGTCTCTACAGCGGAGGAAGAAACGAGAGAGCTGCATGATATGGTAAACAAAGGCCTAAAAAATGGAGTTATCAAGCCGCTTGTTAGAAAAGTCTTTGAAAAGGACGAATTGGAAACAGCCTTCAAATATATGGCAGCCGGAAAGCACATAGGCAAGGTAAAAAGAACTGTGGTTGATGGCAGTTTGATTGTAATCAATTGTTCTTCTCAAATCTATTAATAAGCTGCATAAAGTTATTCATTAACATTGTTTGCTAGAAATACGAATTATATACGGTCAACTGCTATCAACTGTTCTATTACAATATTATAGTTACCTAACGATTCTCCTAAGCGCTTTGGAGAGAATATTAAACTTATTAAAATAAAGCCAAGTCTGCGAGAAGCTAAAAGAAAGTTAACAAGGCTATATTACATGTCTTATAGATACTTGTAAAAGTTTGCGACGAGAAGAAGGTCCTTGAAAAGAAGCCTATTCTCGCTGAGCCTCGATATTACTGCGACAGTAATAAAACTTACCTCATCCTGGGCGGACTAGGTGGTTTCGGGTTGGAATTGGCCGGCTGGCTGATATCCCGAGGCGCCAAAAACTTGGTATTGACGTCAAGAACAGGAATAAAGAACGGTTATCAACGTCTGAAGGTCGAGCAATGGAAATCTTACGGCGTGAATGTGCTTATCGTCACGGGGGCAGACGCTTCAAGTCACAAAGATTGCGAATTTATACTGAACTCCGCGGAAAAGCAGGGCCCGGTGGACGCGATTTTCAATCTCGCCGTGGTACTGAAGGACAGCGTCTGCAAGAACCAAACGCCGAAGTCGTTCGAGGAGTGTTTCAGGGCGAAGGCTTACGCCACGAAGATGCTGGACAAGTTGTCCAGAAGTTTGTGCCCGCAGCTGCAACAGTTTGTAGTTTTCTCCTCGGTCTCTTGTGGCAGAGGGAATGCTGGGCAGACAAATTACGGTATGGCCAACTCCGTGATGGAGAGAATTTGCGAGCGCAGAGCGGCGAACGGTCTACCGGGGCTGGCTATCCAGTGGGGCTCGATAGGCGAAGTTGGCCTTGTCGCCGAGTGGCAGGACAACAACAAGGAGCTTATTGGCGGTACTTTACAGCAAAGAGTATCCTCCTGTCTTGAGAAGCTCGACAATTTCTTGTTGCAGAATCGTCCGGTGGTATCTAGCATGATGGTAGCGGAGAAGTGCGTTCATGGAACTGTCAACATTGTGGAGACCGTGGCGGATATAATGGGTAAGATTGTTGTCATTTTAGAATAGTCTCCTAGAACAAAATCAAAAGGAATCTATAAATTACATGTATTACACAATGAAGATGTTAATTCTATGTTTTCAAATTATAAACCATTTAAGTATATTCTCTATAGAATCAATATTCCTGGAGAAAAAATATATCTTTTTGTTTATTTATACTATTCTCATCAGATGTTTGTAGGTCTTGATTTGAATTTCACAAATAAAATTGCTTCTATACCGTGTCGTTATTAAAAAATATACGTTACTATTGATAAGATACCGAGTCTAAATATGTTTCTTGATATTTTTGCAGGTATAAAAGATCTCAAATCTGTGGCTCCGAACACATCGTTGGCCGAACTCGGCATAGATTCGATTAAGTCTGTGCAAATTAAACAAACAGTGGAACGTGAGTTCGATGTCTTGCTCACAGCGCGGGACATCCACAATCTGAGCTTTGCCAAACTGTCAGAGATGTGCGATGAGGAATTGGAGCGAGAGCAAGCACAGGCTCAACAGATCACTGAACAAACAGCCGCAATATCTGGTATTCAACTGATAGTTCGACTTGTGAGCGAGAAGTTGTCTACCGAGACCTGTATGGAATTACAAACTAGAATGGATCCGCGCAAGATCAAAGTATTCCTTTTGCCGGGTATACAAGGTTGTGGACAATTATTTAATCCACTGGCGTCGAAGATCAGACCTATCGCTGCGGTCTTGCAATATGGAATAACAAATAATGGACGTAGCCATATGTCTATACCGGAATACGCCGATTTTCTTTTACCAGTACGTATACACGGAAGAGCGTAAATGATGAATAAAATAAGACATTCATTCGATATATTTCTTTTTTTAATGAATGCTTTCGCTGAGTCGAAAAATGTTCGTCCATGCCAACTGACATTTCATTGGAATTTCCAGTACATCTTACCAAAGGCAGAAGAGCAAAGAGGTTTCGCTATAGTCGGATATTCGTTCGGCTCGTTAATTGCCATCGAGTTAGTGAAACGACTGGAAAAACGAGGTTTGAGCGGTCGATTAGTACTGATTGATGGTGCTCCTGAGATCCTGAAAACAGTAATAGAGCAATTCCTTCCATCCGCTACTGAGGGAGAACTTCAAAATAATATCTTGCTTGCTATCATGGATACTATGCAATCAGCTTTAAGCGAAAAGGTAGATCTTGTTGGCTGCTAACATACTTTTCGGTCTTCTTGCTAATATCCCGTTTATTTCTTAGCTGCTTTTGGATCTCGAGAAATGTACGACCTGGGAGGAGAAATTAAATAGTTTCGTTTCACATGTTCCTGACAACGAAATGGTACTTTCCGTCGCAGATAAGAAAACATTGTGTACAGCTATTTATATGAACATTCTCGCTCTCCGAAAATACGACTTTTCGTCCTTGGAACGACTACGAACGCCTATAACACTTTTGAAACCCACATTAAAATTTGTCGATACGATCGACGAAGATTATGGCCTACACAAGGTATTACACTTTCATGTACTTTTTATAAGCGTTTAATTTCTCATAATCGATGCCTAACACAGCGCGAAAAACATTTTAGGTCACACGAGACAGGGTGGAAGTGCATTACGTTGAAGGCAACCATGTCACAATGTTGAACAGCAACATGGTCATAAGGGCAATCAACGGAGAATTGTTACAGGATTATAAAGAATTCAGAAAACTTTTATCAGAAGATCGACCGTTCGAGTACGAGGACGAGGAACGTACAGCCTGAATTATGGATTAAAGGCCTATAATATATTTAACTTAAAAACAATATATGTATGAATGTGTATATTTTTGTCGAAGTTGGACTAGGACTGAGTACATACATACGATCTAGACTTGCCGATGTGGATATTTGAATATCTGAATAATTAATTCACCGAATTATCTCCACTATTTAAATTTGAAACTATTTAAATTGTTCTGTAAAAATGTTTGTGATTCAAACAATCGAATCTGCAAGTACCTTAGGTTGGATTCACTCCTTCTCTTCTCTTCCCTCTGTAGAAAATTAATAACATTATTAAAATGCAAAACTTGATTGAAGTTATGTACAACGAAAGTGTAATTAAAGTAGTAGTAGTGGTAATAATGGTGGCAATAAAAGTAAACGGGTGAAACTAATATAGCTTCTTCTGTCACCTAGATCTAAAAGTTCCTTTGTAACTATCCGCTGGGTATTAAGGTATGCTTATTAGTCTCAGTCCGGTATTTTCTATCAGACTGCAGAGGCTGCCCATCCTTACATTGCGCCCAGGTTCCTGGGCTCTAGAAATGGACGGTCCGGGACTTGAGTTTTTTAACAGTCTAGCGCAGGACACTGTATGTATACTGTCCTTTTTTTCCTCTCCACATAGCCGACATTTTTTTCTGCTCCGCCAGTCCGAGGACGAATAAGTAAGCTCTGAGAGCCTTATGGCCCGTGAGGAGACCGATACTTATTCTCAGTCTTCTTTCGGTCACAGTCGAGAGTCCGATAGACCTTTTAGCAAGGGTTGACTCATCAGAAGTCCGGCGACAGCCTTATCCCGATTCCCAGGCTGCTAGTTACTCTCGGCTTCTGATGACTTTTTCGCCAGTGGCGAAGGAGACGTCTATCCTAGTACGGATATATTTAAGAGACAAAAATCTATAGGTGACACCGGTTTTTCATTTGCAGGGTAAAATCACATTGATACAAAGTCAGCAAAAAATTAAATTAAAATTAAATAAATAGAAAATTGATATAAAGTTTGCTTATGTGTGTACAGTTATTGTTTCTTTAATTTAATGATCTTTCTTGAAATTTCTAGTTTTTAATTTTGTCTAGCTTCTCTCGAGGAATACAAGAGGTGGAATGTGTTAAATATTTTTTCCAATATTTTTACTGATCTTTTTTAAATCCACCGAAAATAATTGTTATTATCAAATGCAACTACTTAATTATAGGTCAAATTGTAGAAAAAAAGAACCTAATATTATAGAACGGTATTTCATTACCGTTGGCAAAAACTGATCTTAAAATAAATGGCTAACATATCTTTCCTGAAAAGGGAACGGTAATTCTCAAAAAATAATACGTGGAATTTAGAAAAAATAACTAATAAGAGATAAAATAAATAATAAATTCATATAAATTTGCGTGTTCTAAAATTGGTAAAGGTATTAAAATTCTGGTTGCAGGTTTTATTATCGTCATAATCGTACTTTAATGCAAAAACTAATACATATCAATATATACCCAATCATTCCTAATAAACGCTCATTACATGTTATCATTTATTATCCTCGCTTTGTAAGTTATCTTTCGCTCACTCAATATTACGTGCAAAATATAAACTGAGAAAGTTGCTAGAGATATAAATTTGTATATTTAATTTCCTCTATTTTACAAATCTCTGTTCAGAGTCGCTGACTTTTCTTTAACTTATGGCTCTTTTGTTGTTCTTCCACTACTAACATTCATTACCAAGGAAGACAAAATACAAAAAGACATGTTTATTTTGTACTGGTATCATTAACAAAAATGAAAATGAGAAATCTTTTAAATAAAGAAAATACTCGGTATCAATTTAAAATAGACGAGATTAATTTCATTATAACTCTCTTATAATATCATTTTATTATAAACAAGTATAGAAAATGGTAAATATACAAAATATCTCAAATCCGCTACCTATTCTTTGATCCTTCGATGATCCAATGAAGTTAATCTTTCTTTAACAATAATGCCTAGGTATCAATCATCCATAAATTAGAAGCGATTGAGAAAAGAACTTAGTTGCGAATTAAACTTGGGAAATTAGATGGTTAACAAAGCAGTATTCGTCATTTCATTTCAACTGAAACTTATATAATGGAATTTCTAATTGTATTATATATAAAATTTAATTATGAAAACATGTACATAGAAAATTAAAAATTGCAATAAATGTCTGATAATCTTGCCACACATTTTTGTAAATAAATTGGCCAATGTATTGTTAAAAATATTCAATATTTTTTGGACACTATATATGTGTTGAAATGCATATATATATATATATATATATATATATATATATATATATATATATGTGCATTTCAACATATTATTTCACTAAATATAGTAGTTACGTATCTTTTCATAACAATAATTTCTCTTATAAATTTATTACACACTAAATGATATAAATAAGAAATTATAACGACATAATGCACAATAAGGACTACATGCAATAAAGGAAAAGCCATACCATACTCACATAGCAAAATTATAATAAAGTACCATGAAATGACATAAAGTCCATGCATGTTGAATGGAAATAACATAACAGAGATTTCAAACTGATACAAATGCAGCATCACACAAACGATTATTATATATATAATAGAAGAAACCGCAGAACATATTATTTCTTATCCTAATCTACTTTACATCCTTTCAGAGTATTGGAACTGTTTTCCAATTCAAAGTATTATATTTATATCTCTTTTTGTTTTTAGTGTATATGAAGAGGAAGTAAGCTGCACTAACCAAAGATTCTCATAATTCCATTGGCTCAAACGCTGATGTGGCATTGGACAATATGTTATTTAGATCGGGAATAGTGTCATTGTTATTATTATTGTTATTATTGTTATTGTCATCAGACGTGTTTGGGATTGGCGTTGGAGTATCTCTCGTTGGCAAGATACGAAGATGCCTATTTGGTGGTTCCCACAGGACCAGAGCCATAGAAGGCCTCTCTCTGAAAGAGACAAAAAATAAACTCCTAAGACGAATACATTTATATAGTTTGTTTAGTTCTCTCTCTCTCTCTCTCTCTCAAATGTATAGTATCATACTTTCAAAGCTCATATCAGACTACGGATTGATATTAAAATTAGATTAAATTTGCCCAATTAGAGTAAAAGTCACTAAACTTGAGATTAGTGGTCAAATTTCAATGTAATCTCAATCTCAGTCCGGTCTTAACAGATTACGTAACTAATTTATATTTACAATTTAGATATAAGGGTTGATGGCAGAATAGGTTCCTCTTGCATTCGCTTGAGTTCCTCTGAGAGGACCAATCTTGGATGTAGTTCGCTCGTTTGTTCGGCGTTTATTGTGTTCGTTACATCGACGTCCATGTCTAACTGACTACGACGGGAAGATGACGCGTGAACAGTGGAAGTCGATGGCGTCTGGTTCTCGGATTCGTAATTGGAACTGATGTGCAGATCTTTGAAGTGTGCAGCTATTTTCTCTTCGGTTATAAACTGCTTCGTCTGATGCCTGTTTGGAGAAACAGCGCGCGTCGTCAAGATTTCGCTGCGCAATTAATCGGTAGACACGCGTGAGTTGCGCGATACTCACATATCTACAACGTCCGCCGCTTCCAATTTCCTCTTCTGATGAACGATCGGTCCGGAACTGGTCTCGCCGGTGAATCTAACCAATTCCTGCTGCAACGCTGGTACGCTCCATGGAAAGGTAATCGGCGGTACTTGCGGCGTGTGCATATAAAATCCAATCGGTTGCTGCTGTGGATTCTGTTGGTTCATCATCTGCTGAATGATGGACGGCGGCGTACACAGATGCGCTCCGCCCATGGTATTCTACGAAACGACAAGCGTGTAAATAAGATATTGCAAGTAATATATAGACTTTTTTCTTTATGACACCAATATTTAGTATCAGTCACTTGCGCCGCTCCGCACCGATGCACGCTAAAGCTCGCTCAACGTGAAGCTGTTTAATGATAAAAACACAATGGAAACATCTCGACTTACAAAATAATCAATGTTAATATCACATTTTTGGCGGAACGTAGATGGCTTATCGATAAAAATGCGTACGTTCTCGCATAGAAACATTCTCATATACATTAGCCTTTGCAATTCAATTTAATTAAAACAAAATCGGCGCGCTCGCTAAAATCAGCCACGACAAAAGCCAAAAATAGCATCATCTTCTCTAGCATGCCAAAAAGAATTGGAGTCACATTATTTCACAAGACGGGATACGTTCAAGACCGATTGGCAATTGACGCGCGGATCCGAGCGTCGTCGCGAGCTTGTTGTACGAAATTCGCGAAAATCAGACACCGCACGGCCGAGAGTCAACAATCGTTTCGTCCGTCGCGCACATTTCACTCACTGTCATTTGGGATGTACCGGGCTGTGCGTCTACGACAGGGTCTCGTGGCTCCAGGGTATCGCTCGGTTACCTGCAGAAACCGTCACGTTAGCGTCCGCTTCCTGTTTATAGAACTCGGAAGGTAAATACACACCGCACGGACGAATCTACACTGCGAATCCTCTTGACGCTAACCTGTCAGACGCCAACGTCTCAGATGATCGCGGACGGGCGTCGCGTCTCTCAATCGTTTTCACCCTGATTGCGAGTGTCCCCCCCCCCTCCCCCTCGCGCGGAGCGTGCTGTACCGCTTTGAGACGACCGTTTCTCGTCGCGCGACCTGCGAATCGCGGGCGCCTCGGGCTCCTCGGAAAATTCGCAAAACTTGACAAACTCTCCTTCTCCTCCGCCCGAACCTCACCGCCGTACCGCAATGTTTATACGGCCGAGTCCAGTTTCCAATTCAGTCGTGCCTGTGTGTATACTGAGCGCTCCCCCCCCCTCCCCCTCGCCGTTCTGTCCTATTCTTAACTCTGCGCCACTTCGCGCACACATGCACAACCGTGTGACCACGCGTGCGCAGGATCGGCCCCGATTCACGCGCACCGCGTGGAGTCGTCGCTCCGCGCATGCGTGATCACGTGGAAAGTGTCGCGTAGTGGGGACAGTGAACGAAGAAGTATCAAAGCGCAAGGGAGAAAGCGAGATAGAGCGATACAAACAACAGCGCGGGGATTCTCGCCATCACCTGTTCCCATCTCTCTCTCTCTCTCTTCCTATTTTGAAAAAAATTTTTCGAAACTGAACAATAAAAACCTCGGCTCTTGAAAGATTTCTTTAATTTTCAGACTCAAATGATTTGCTTTTCATGCTAGATTGCCATATAAACGTTTTTTAAAAATAAGAACAGAGTTTCTAACATGTAATTTATTTTCTCGTTACTTATATGTGCAGGTACAAATAATATGTACAAGTAAATAACATTATATATACAATATGTGTAATCCAAGTTTGATTCAAATCACTCTGATAATGTTTAGAATAAAAAAACTAAATTAAATCGTGATTGAAGTCAATTTCTATTGGTAGAAATGGACGTAAATTGTGCAGTTTTTATTGCCCGGTTCGTATACGAAATTTTCCTCTTAATCCGGATCGATAATTTTTAGAATTAGAAAGAATTGATTAAATCGTGACTAGACAATTTCTATTGGTAGAAATGGATGTAAATTGTGCACTTTCCTCTAATGCGGATCGATACTGAAGACAGAAAAAAAAAGTTAACTCATGGCAGATATCTCATGCTTTCAATGCGTATCTTTTAATAATGAAAAAAGATGTACGTGTAATTATTAGTTGCGACAGTAGACAAACACTTCAGCTTTATTGTACGCACATGGCATAGATCGTATCTCCGATCTAATGATGATACGGCTTTCATTTGTCTTTTTTTTTTACTTTATATCAAACAGCAACAAAGATACAACGAATCTACAGCGATAACAATAAAGGTAATATGAATAGTATTCGAATGTTACGTAAAAAATAAAATCATAGAGCATTTATAGTTTACATGGCGTTATATAAAAGATAAAACTTTGCAGCATATGATTTTAAACTGCAGATATTTTTCTATGTACCTCTTAATTATATTATATGTTAAGAGTAACATTTTTAATTTTACTCACACAACATTTGGAATAGTTCTAAAATCATTAGTAATATATTATATGCATATCTTGGTCAATAATCGCTAGTTTATCAAATTAATCCTCATTATACAAGAACCGCCTATCACAGAATTAAACGTTTCTTTCGCGAAAGTATATATTTTATTTATGTAATAGTATTCTGTGCAAGCACGTGCGAAACACTTTGGCATAACAGAATCAATTCTGCCGCTCTCGTGCTGTACCTATGATCCCGTCACGCGTTTGTTACAGGATTTTGTCAGCATTTTTGTCACGCAAATAGCCACGTAACTTTTATACACACGAAGACACACGGATTGCGTAACTTGTTGTGTTCTGCTTTCCGGTTGCACTAATAATTTTTATTTTTATTGCCAATCTATCCAAAGTCTTCGCGTATGCACGGATTACAAGACTTGCTGAAAGTTCCAACGTAAGGAGGCAAATATTTGTAAATCACTTTAACAACACCGATCGTTCTACATTTTGGAGTAACTTAATTAAGAAAACAAAAACGTAAATACACGCCACTTACGGAAATTTAATTAAGACGTCGCTGCGGTCTAAAAGCGCATGTAGACAGATTGCATTTTCGTTAATCGCTATACTAAAACCAGTTTTATCGCAAAAGGTCGATGCGTGAAAGGCAGAGAATCGGGGAAACCTTTCTCCTCGCGGGATACATTAACTTTGAGGAATGCCGGCGCGTCGTACAAAACTATCCGCATCATAAAATACTATCGCATCGCGGTATTACATTGTCTCGCTGCTCGTTATCTGTGACGATCCTCGTATATTGGTCTTACCAAGAAGCATGTTATATACGGGTACTTCCGCAGGTACGCATTATATCATCGACGCTGCCGGTTACTTATCTGATTTTTCATGGATGGTAATTTATTGTAATTGGGCTGAAAAAATTATTGGAATGAAAATTATCTTTCCAAATCATTAAATCGTTTAATAGTTTTGTCGCTTCAAACCGATAATATTTCGAGATAAAACGCCGCGTGTAGGCAGTCAAATTACAAGCTGCTGAGCAAGATCGGCAGACTTTTCACTGCCGGAAGAGCCGGAAGAGCAAACGTACGGAAGTACGTTTCGAAAGGATAATAAAATCACATTCTCCACGATTAACTTAAATCAACTTCCTCGCCGAATTTTATTTTCACTGGAAAAATATTTCACATTGAACATATGATAAGTGACGACCTTTTCCGAGATTATTGCTGGGAAGATTTTAATGACTGACTCCAGATTCCTCGATGAATTAGTCATTAATATTACAATCGCGGAATCTACATTCGCAGAGGATATCTGGTAAGAGGAATCGTGAGAAAAAAACATTGTATGTTTCAATTAATCATAATATTTCAACCTCTCTCCGCACGTCGCACGTACTACAACGTGGAAGCGCACGACGGGCCGTCGGAGTATCCTTGCGTCAGATGAAAGGAGGCAAACGGAATCGACGCCGCTTGAATACAAAAGTATCTTTGGGAATGGTAATCGTGGGTTTTTTACTTACTGAAGCACGGTAATTCCCTCCTGAAACAGAAAAACAAAGAAGATAAAACGACTGCTAAACTGACGTAGTCCAGCGAGTGTGTTATACCAGGTCTCCGCATATTCCAGTGATTACGTAGTAAACACACATACGAGGCAACGTGGCATACAGGTGATTAATTCCGCCTGTCAGAATGCAGGTTCCTCCATAAATAATACCGCCGTTTATTCCGCGCCGTGCGCTTTTGCGAGGGCCGATTTTCTCATAATAATGGCCACAGCGTGACGGTGATGATCTGCAATCCCAGTGTCGCGGGCATTGCCGAAGAAAAGTCGACATTGATCCTCCGATTTATCCTCCGAGGATGAGCGACTCGTCGTCTCGCGGACGTCATTCGGCGGACTCGTTTCGCCGCGATCGCCTTATCGCCTCGTTCCGAAAGACAGGCGGAACAAACGTCATTGGCCGCAGCATTGGTGTCTCTTGGCGAGCACGTGAGAGGTGAATCGCGCCCCGCCACGCAATCGCGCACGGATACGCGCGGGAGGCCACACGGCCGGTTATTATGTCGCAGATATGGCTCGAAGGTAATTAATACTATTGTTATGATTCAGACAGGTACGTCATGTCCGTACTTTGGCCAGGCGATCCTTCAGTCTTCGGTCGGAGCTCCGGTGCACAGTCTCGCGGCCGCTCCGCGTCCTCCGTGCGGTGCCCACACACATGCATCCGCCGCCGCGTGTCTCCCCGACGCCTTGTACACCGTCCAGAGAGATAACAACAGAACGCGTCGCTCGTGGCCGGCGATACAGCGACATGGTCCAATACACAACATTCCTGACTGTGCGATGAATCGCCGCTGTCGGCGATGTCGAGACGATTAACTTGTAATCCAAACGATTATGCGACCGTATGAGGGACTCTGTGCGAGCAGCAGGAGTGAACTGCCTGCGATGTGATACACCTTGACACACCTGCGTGCCTCCGAGTATCCGTTCGAATCGCTCGACGTCTCGTTGAAAGTGATGAACGATGTCCCGAATGCGTAAACGCTCCAAGAGATAGCCGTAGGATTTCCCGTTGCACGAAACCCGAACCGCCGGTTCGAACGGGGGAGAGAAGGGTCGTCCGAGAGATGAGCGCCTTCCTCGACTGCGCTCAGGACGAGAGAGCACCGAGTGTCGCGGATCACGCGAGATTAAACATGAGCGCCACGAACAGCGATACAGGGGAGGACGTGAGAGGCGGTAAGCTCAACAAGTCGACGCAGAGCGATCTCCCGCAATCGGCGTGGAGGTATCCTTGCGGCGGGCAGAGGTCCAGGCCGATGTCCTTGGCGTATCTGTCGACGAAGCAGACCCCGATGAGCGAGTCGAGCTTCTCCACGCACAGCTCCAGGAGCACGCTGTACCCCGTTCAGAGCGAGCTGGTCTTGTCGTCTAGAACCAGGCACAACAACAATCGATACGTGTCCTTGGACATGAGACCGATCGGCAATCTTTCGTATCCTAGTCCGTATACCAACAGCCAGATTTTAGGCAACAGTGCACCGTACACGTGTTGCTGTACGTGCACGGGCTCGCAGGTGCCGCAACCGCCGCTGCCGCCGCAGACATCGTTCTCGCAAGCCGAGTCCGAAGACCACGACGGGCCCGAGAGTCTCTCGTGGAGGAGGCTTCACATGAGCAGGGCAAAGCTGAAAGCAACTGCAACCACATCCGAGCTTCTTAGTGGATTCGCAATGGTGAGCGGAACAATAATTGCATTCACATTAAATATCAGTATCAAAGCGATTGTGCGTGCCATTGAGACGCGTGGGTGGTTTTCTCTCCTTCTAGCACGAAACAAGCACAATTTCGGCAAATTTTTTCAAATTAAAAAATCTTTATGGCTAACGACTTACTCTGTGTTCATTGTGTCTGCGAATATTTCAGAACTCTTTGATCAGCATAGAAAGTGAATTATTATTACATCTTATTATTAATAATGTTGAAGATGCAATGATACGGTGAGATGCAAACGTTTGATTGATGATGCTCGTGATTACTCGTCGGTTATTTGAAGTAGGAAATGTCAGAGCAACGTGCCTCTTGTTTTCCACGAGCGTGTCTACCCATCCGTACCGATATAATTGTCACAACCGTAAAAATAATAAAATGGCACTTTGAAAAAACTTGCTCTTCTGCCTGCTATTATGAAAAAGTAAATTTTGAGGAACTAAGTTGAACGTAATTCGATAGGGAGATAAAAGAAGTACGTTCTACATTTTGGTAAAGTTCGAAGTCGAATAATCCGTTTCTGAGATATTGTAGACAATTTCTGTGTGTAGTTTTAATATTATAATCAGTTTTTTCATACTTACGCTTCATCAGTCATTCCAAGGCTATGCAGATATCCTTTTTTATATCCTCCTCGAATATTTTTCCAATTTTTTTGCCTCCTCTTTCGATTCTGACCTTCTTCGTCTCATCGATCCTTTCGAATCACTTGATTATCGAATTAGATATTTATAACTTTGTCAATTTCATGAATATTATCAAAATACGTTAAATATATACTTTTTAAGCATTAAAACTGGCAGAAAACATAAAAAATAAATATAAATTTGGGAAAATTTGTAATTATGCATAAGAAAATTTCTTTAATCTATTCTTGTGTGCGATCGCTGTATTTTTATGATGTAAATGTCTGTGTAGGATTTCTAAAACAACGAATATTACGCATGTACCAAATTATTAAAATTATTAAAATTAATATACTTAATGCGATTTAAAAAATGAATTGAAAAATATACAAAATATACACCTAACAATAAGAAAGAGAAATAAAATAAAAAGTTTGTTGTAAATATAATATTTAAAGAAACACGAATGTTAATTAATTACTTATCAAACTATATATCTATTTTTTAACTACATACATTACGTCGCTCGACTTTTCAAGTACAGAACAACATTGTCTACAGCCGTGAAGATTTCTGGAGATTTCCAGCCTCTTTTAATTTGAATATTGAATATTGAATATCGAATTAAAAATTAAATATGTTAAACGTTCGTGCAAAAGACTTGGTACAATTAATGGCGGTTAAGTAAGTTTTCCTGTTTATGTGACAAGCAATAAATATTTCCAATCGGTTATGATATTTTGAAAGTCATTCAAATGGACTGTTTTCTTGGAAATCTCCACCTTACGGCGGGCTGTACGTGATTACACAACGTTTCCTGAAAATGGTTAAATTGACGTCGACGACAATTCTATGTAATCTTCATGCACATCTGTGCGGTTATATAAGGCAGATATCACTTTCTTTAATCCGCTTCACTTCTCGCTCGATCATCCACCTAACGTAGATATCCTCTAGCGTAGCCGAGGATTTTAGTGAACTGCATTTCACTTTTTTATTTTCAGGTGGCGATGGTGGAGCTGCAAATAAATGAGCCGACTGCGGTGCCAGAATGGCTGTTTGTAATGTTCGCCGTTTGCACCACCTTCTTGGTGTCGGTGCACATCTTCGCGTTGATGATCAGCACGTATCTCTTACCCAACATCGAGGCCATAAGTAAGCTCCAGGTCTCGCGCCTCATAACAGAGTCGCCCCATGAGAGGATGCGCGGTTTCATCGAATTAGCCTGGGTGTTTTCCACGATACTCGGGCTGTTTCTCTTTCTAGTAGAGGTAGCCATTCTCTGCTGGGTCAAGTTCTGGGACTACTCCTTTACCGCCGCCACTGCCAGCACCGTGATAGTCATTCCCGTGCTCATAGTGTTCGTCGCCTTCGCTGTTCACTTCTATCACTCTTTGGTAGTTTACAAGTGCGAAAGCGCGGTGTCGGATATGAAAGATTTGGAAAGCATAAAGAGGAACTTGGACAATGTGACGATAGGACAAACTAGCGTGTAAGCTCAAGACAATAACACAATCTGAAATATATAAATATATACGCAAATGATTAAACAAGAGAGAATGCATTGAAGTTTAACGAATAAGAATTATATCGTATAATTTCTACCAGAGTGTAAATTAATTTGTGGCAGGTAGGAATACTCAGGTATAAAATAGAGAGGTGTTGCTCTTGAACTTGAGACATATCTTAATGAGAGTGACACAAGAAAAGAACACTATGTGCGGATTTGTTATCAATAACTTTACTTTTCAAACGCGACCATGTGAAAATGGTCAGGTTTTATTATATATAAAAATGTACATAGCTGTACACATGCAAGTCGAGAATTGCAACGGTACAAGCGAGTGCTCTTTAGTATATTACCTATATAATATCCAGCATTTAATAATATTTGTGTGTATACGGTTTAACTCTTGATTTTTATTTAAACCTGTTCCTTGATCATTCTGTCACTATCATACGTCATATCACTAATATATATATATATGTATATATATATATAGTATCTGTTCTTTTTTTTACCGCGTCACTTAGTTTGTGGGAAAAACTGAAGGACAATTGCGTACTTATTTTATATACACTTTCTGAAATTTACATAACTTTTCTAGTCAATAAATAAGTCGTCAGAGTTTAGGATGTCCAGCGAAAAACCACGGTTTCTCGTTTGTATTAGAAGAAGAAAACGAAAGTATTATATAATTAATGTACCTCTCATTTTTACCATAAACTAAGTTGTAATCTTATTATAAACAGTTTCTATAATTATGCTTTAATTTCGTTTGTACAAAAACACTCGTCGCTCGAAGGAGTCGTTGTAAGCAAAACGGGGAAATACACAATTACTTCAGTACGACGAAAGTATTATGTGATATCTCTTGCGATATAAATTATAAATTATATTGCACTAATCTATGTCCGAAAACTTGAACGTTTCCTTAAAGATACACGCTACGTCGTATTCAAAATTCATTGCATTCAATTGTTTGCTTGATAAGCAAAATCTTTTTACGGAGGCATTACGCAGATCTTACTGTGAACTCTGCCTCTCGAGATTATTCGTATGTACATTGGAAGAGAAAAAAAATTCAAAATGTACATTACAGAAACATAAATGTCATGTTGCAGTGTACGTAATTGATAAAAAAAAAGAAGAAAGAAAAATCGTGGGTGTTGAGAGATAAATTGATGATTTGAGCATTAGTCACGGTTGAAAATTACTCTTTAAAAAAATGTATATGTTGAATTGGTTGAAAATTGGTTAAAACCATTTTACAAACGTATCTTCGTAATTTTCTGATAAAGTAATAGGAGGAAGTAGGAAGTAAAATATATCTTATTACTTATTTTATAAAAGTAGTTGTTGTAAAAAAAATGGTTTAGCTGATACTGAAATATACGATGGAGACTAAATTGCTTGTGCTATGGACAGGTAGGCAAATGAAGAATGAAATAATATTAAAAACATTACAAAGCTAACGAGATGATGTTAAAAATGCCTTCTCTGCGTAAGAATAAACTTGGATTTTCTTTTCCTATGTTAATATAATGTTTCTCTATTAATACAGATTAAATTCAACATGCCGAATACTTTAGCTTCTCTATTGTATATTTTTCTCTAACTGGACTGAAAAAGTAGTCTTACAAAACTTGTGTGATGATAATATTTACGCGAAGAGCCGTAAATTATGAAAGATTGTTCCAACGTATGTATAGTTTAGAAATTCGCTGAGTATGACGACATAAAAAATGATTCAGGCAATCGTTAAATATCTAATTGAACCATGATTATGAGTTTTACGTAACCTATTATAAGAAACAATATGAAAGCAGTTATAATTCCACCTCTCTTAGATACACAGTAATGTTATTATATTAGAATATATATATATTTTTTTTATGTTATTTTTCATTAACCTCTACGATATTATAGATTGATCTAAGAGAATGGAAAAACTCGTTTATCTTTCAGAAGAGTTACTTAATAAATTGGCTTTCATACATATTATCTTCAGTCTTGTCCTTAAATAAACATATAAAGTCTTTCTGATGGCCTATCCATAGCAAGAGCTCGTTTAGAAAGCCTTATTTGTTCAAACGTTCCTGTAGTTATCTTCAACAACGCAATTTCGTACTTCGTCTTCTACTTACACATTGAGAATGACAATGAACTGTACTTCCGAAATAGATATGATACTTGTTAACAAACGAGTAGCAAAACGAAACATGGTATCGAAAAGCGTGCCGTTGATTATCGCAAAACTTTGTGCCCCCTTAAAAGTTGATGAAAACGATAATAAATATATACAATTGCTTTTAGTATTACTACGTTGCTCAGCGTTAAACCAACTTTAAAACAAAGTCACAACCTACACGTACATGTGTATTGGATTCTTATCTAAATATTCAAACAGTTTATAAATTATCCTATTCATAGCTACACATTCGCAAGTAATTCGATTCTGATTGAGTAGTGATAGTTAAACCAAAAAAAAATGGTACTCTGCGATATTCCTCTTTTCAGTCACTTGTAACTCAATTGTACGGGAGTAGTATTTAGTTCTCTATATTTTTTGTTCGATCAAAAGTATTTCGAGAATATTTTTCTCTTACGATGACTCTAGTAGAAGAAAACAATCTTCCTTCATTCGTTAAATTAACCGCATGATACATAGTCTTTAGTTATTACTTATTAGCTCGAAATGACGATAATTATCGGTTGCGTTATCTACTGTGCACAATGTCTATCCATATACTCAACATCAAGTTAAGACACAGAAAGAATGCCAATAATATACGTGTCATTTGGCATTCCAGAAATATTCTCAGAGACTTTTCCGTTCTCTATTCGTTTCGGTAAAAAGTTCTTTGCACCGCTAACATTACATTCGTGACATTATATTACATTTAAATTATTTACGCGGTACAATGTATCATTTACATGAATTTTTGCGTCGCAAAACAAAATCATAATCGATGCTTAGATCCGATTAATTTCTCCGTACGTCGTATTGACTTTGAAAAAAGAATGCGAATGAATTGCGCACATGTGAGTATGCGTAGAAAAAATTACTTACATTAAATGACATTGATGAAAATAAAAGTGTGAGGTTAAATGACGGTGAATCTCGTGCAAGAGTTTTGCCTCCAATGCAACACAATGTATAGGGACCCATGACTCTTGTCAAACGTCTATATGCTTAGAAGGTTGTTGAGATATGAATGGTTCACTCCACATCCGACGCAAATCTCCCTGAAAGTAAATTAATTTAAATTGAATTAACATGTACATAAAATTGTGTACTTTACTTTGTACAACATTTTACATATATTTACATCGTTTCATAAAGCAAAGTATTACTGAAGATTTAATTTTATAATTGTAATATAACTTTTTAATTATTTTTCAATTAGATTTATTTCTATGTAGTGTCTCAAATCGTGCATCGTTCTCTCGAATCAATCTAAAATCGAATAATTAAGAAAAAAAAAGTATAAAGTGTTTCTCGCAAGATTTTACAATTTAATATTGAACAAATATCTTTATATTTAGGCCTTAAATCATAGCTTTATTAAAATGTTTCATGATTAAGCAAAAGGTAGACTTTATTCTCTATTTACAGTTCTTTTGTAGCTTTACTGCTAGCAATTCAACTTTAAATTGTAAAACTGAGAACAGGGGATCTATATAGATACGTTTGTGTATTCAGAGTAGTCGGCCAAAGAATTTATCCAAATTTCCTACTCTCATCTCGCAATACTTAATATTTAAGTCATTGGAATATATGCAAGAAAAATAACGGTACCTTCAAATACGCCATCGTGAGCAACGGCAACAAAGTGAAGGGCACAAGGTACAATAAGGCAGGCTGCGCAGCTTTGAACACCTCAGAGCTTACAGTGGCGGTAAGTAGACCAAGAAAATAACCGATCAAGGAGCAATGAAAGTAGCTAATTCGGCTGAAGTGGCGCGGCGGTGGCACTCCAGTTTCGCAACCGCCGGGCAATAGCTGAGTCTTTTTGTATGCGTCGTAGCGCAGGACAAAACAGAGCAGAAGACCCGGCATGACTACGTCGCCGAGACCCAACATTGAAAAGTGTCCCGCTTGATGCATCGACGGGAAAACTAGTTTTCCAGGTAATGGTAGTTTCGGCGCGGCTCTCGCCACGCCGCCTAAGTGTAATCTTCTAGCCACGAGACTTACTGGATTATCCGCAGGCCTAGTTGCTACCTACAATGATAATACATATATATATATATATCATCGTTACATGTGTAATAATGCGTGATAGAATAATCTCTATGAACGGATTACACAGACACATTGTGCAATTCAGTTTACTTTTACTTTACAATGCGTCGTCGTGAGAAAAATATGCAAATAATATCAGAATCAATACGATGTCGGAAATTTGCTTGAAAAGATCACGACGTGTTTCTCGTCGTACACAGTGCCTTAGGGAAGTTTGCAAAAAAAAAATCTCACCTTAACCATTACGTTTGTGCTGAATATGTAGGACGAAAAGAAAACCCAGAAGACATCGTAAATCAGCAGTCCGGTTAACAACAGTGTGGATACCTTGAGACTAGGTAGTCGAACAAATGCGATAAATGCCACGCACAAGCCCATACCCATCGCATCCATCAGCAGCCAGTGTCCGGTCAAGACCCAGATGCATACTATACTCACGCTGAGCGAGAACGAGAGTAGTTCCGCGCCCGTGAATCTCCCGCAGACACCGAAGGATATTTTGTTACCATCGGAACACGGTCTAATGATGTACTGACACATGGGCAATAAAAGAAACGCCAATGCAACCGTAGCTATAACTGCAAAAGAAAACGGTGTAACTTACGTCGCACGATATTAACAAGCCAAGTGTTGCCACTTGGCGCCAAAGCCATGTTGTCGCAACAGAGCAAGTTTCAAATCGAATTTGTTACCGAACGTACTGGCTGTACAAATTGCAAGGAGCATCTGCATACTGTCGAAAAAGAAAAACATGACGAGTAGAGAAATGGAAGCACCGAGAGGTAGACAGAGAGCATGCATCGTGTCGAGAGTTTGGACTCTTCCTCCGTTGGCGCCGTCCGGGTTGCCGGCGCTGCTGTTACTCGTAATCCCAGTCAATAAATTACTACGTTCCTTCTCCTTTTCTCTTTCCCTCGCCTCCTGCTCCATGTTTAGAGATCGGAAACTACCGTAAACTATCAGCAGAATTGATATTAGGAAAGTGGATATCCTGGATGAATCCATTATGGAATAAGCCCTGAAACGAGTTACAACGTTTGCGTGTGGCTTGCGGGGAAGAGCCGTGTGTACAGGCGTATGCGACGTGCACTAACCACTGGTAGTCGACTTGATACGTGGCCATGTTTAAGAATGCCTGGCCGCAGCACTCAGCGCTATGCGAGGACACCTCCTGACATTTAGATGTCTGTTGTCAAAGTGCTCTTCGCTCGCACTACCCTATGTCAGAGATCATCTGCCAGAGAGGAGAAGAAAGAGACATGACATGAGCGTTAATTCCCCCGATCAAGCCGCCCGGGAACGTACCTGGTGTCCCTCGAGCTCAGCATCATTGGCGAATGGAATTAGGCCTGTGGAAGCCTCGGGTCACCCTCTCGTCAGCGGCGCGACACAAGGAGGATGACAGGATCGCCGGAGCGCGGGTGGGGGGGGGCGGGGGCGAGTTCACGGTGCGGACGACGCGCGGATCGAGGACGAGCTCGGCGCAGCGGGACGAGCGCGCGGCATCGCGGGAGACTCCGGTCTAGCGCGATGCCACCGTCGCGCGACTAGGAGGCGATCGTCGTACCGTGACCGCCTCCGCGTCGGCTCCTGGCATCTCCCGCGATCGCGCGCGTCCACTTTCGAACTTTCGCCCGCGAGCGAGAGGGAACGAGCGTGGAACGCGGGGCCGACGGGGACGGCGGCGATGACCGAGGCGCCGCGGATCGACTCGTCCGGGGGACGCGACGCCGTGTCGGGACGACGGCGACGACGCCGTACGATTGGGACGCCGAGACTGCGAGCGCACCCCTATCCCTCTCGTTCTCTTGCCCCGCGCTGTCTTTCTGTCTCACCGTTCCGCGCACGTAGCACAGCTGATCGCGGCTATTTACGCATCCGAGCGCCGCGCGGCCGCTCCCGTGCGGACGGAACGCAGTGCCGTTCGTATCGCACCACGGACGTTCACCATTTTGGTAAACACACGGGTCACGTGATCCCCCGCTGGACCTGGGCCCCCCCAAGAGGTTCGCTACTCCCTTTACCCCAGAAAACCGCGACCGAGTTCCCGCGCCACGACACGCGACGCGGCTCTCACCTGGGCGATCCGGAGTCTGGGCCCGCCGCGGGACCGCGCATCACCTCATCGGCCCAACGCGAGAGCTGCCCCTACGAGCGAGTCGCGAAAACCGTATCCGACGACACGCTGAACGTCCGTCGGCGCGCGTGAGAGCGGTCGCGACCACCACGACACGGCCGCCGCGCCGTACCACGATGAGAACTACTGCGCGGGTCAACCGCTGCTCGAACGCGGGCGCAGCTGTCTGCACTCGAGCGCGCGCGCGTCTACCGGGTGTCCGGAACACGCCGTCGCCTCGCGGCGAATCCGCTCGGCACGACACGACGGAACGAGAGAATTGCTTTCTCCCTCCCGTTTCTTCGGATTGTCTAGATTTATGCAGCTCAATTTCGACAAGCCACGCTTCGCGGTAGGCGAAATCTGACGCGTTTCAATTTCAATTGTTTTACATCACGAATTTCTTTTACACTTCAACGCCCGTATTCCTCTTTTATCGACGAAAGCGCATCTCGAATTTTTTTTGAAATATTTTGCCGCACAGTGCCTGTGTCCAGCAGAAGTTAGCGCTTGCTAAGCGCTTTGCGTTCATTGGATTATACTTTCAGATCTGTGCTGAAATAGAGCTATTCTTCTAGATCTATCCAATCAGCATAAAGCGCTTATTAAGCGCTAACTTCTGGAGAACACAGCCATTTTATTAGTACGCGTTCCTTTCAAAAAAATGAATTTTCTCATTCGACCGTTGGCTACGTCCCGACATCCGACAGCGAAGTACGAAATACGAAGTATAGTAAGTAGTATTTCAGATTCACATATAGAAGTTAATGTGGCTGCGTTCCGATATTCACTACCAGTACTAAAAATCTATATTTTACGTCACGTTCACTATAGATTTTCACTGGCAGTGAATATCGGGATACAGCCTATATGAAGAGGCTTGCAATTGAAAAATATCACAGGAATGAATTTGAAAAGCGCGCCACAGTTTCCCTGTCAATGTCGGACGTTGTCCATACTCATCACTAGAGATACGTACTCTACGTATTCCTTTACAGCAGCGATGCACAGTGACGATAAAGCGAACGAAAGCCTAAAGGCCTTTGCACGTAAAAAAGCGTTAACCGTAACCGTAATTTTAGTCCGTAATCGTAGTTTTCAACACGTACAGACAGATGGAGCAACCCAAGTAAAATTCCGAAGGTTACGGACTAAAATTACGTAGGTTCCGTAGGTTATGGACTAAAATTACAGTTACGGTTAATGCTTTTTTTACGTGCAAAGGCCTTAACTCATTAGCGGACACATCCCCATCACTCGAAATTCGATGTCGTTTCCTGTGTATACGACCGTGGTCAGTGCCGGCGTTAGGGTGGGGCGCGGTTGGACAATCGCCCAGGGCGCCGCTGCCTGGTGTTTCGCCTAGTTTGAGAGTGAAAGAGATTCCCTAAAATATAAAAACAAAATATTCGCCGTTCGAT